CTATAGTAATCCTTTGGTGCAGTAACCCATGCTCACCCTGTCGCACCAAAGACCGGGGGTAGACTGTGGTATAGAGTTAGTTGGTGGAGCATTTGCATAATTTGTGTTTCTTCTGCAGGGTTGCTGTTCTGCACATAACAGGAAGAGGGTGCTGTGTTTTCTCTCAAAGGCAATAGAGCTTGAGCTGTAGAGACTACAACAAAAAAAGCTGTGAGACTGTGGCAAAAAGCAGTGTGTGAGTTTTTGGCTTTTGTGACAGCTGTCTTAAAAGAATTAGGCATGATTCACTTTCACAAGGTTGCTGCTCCTGCTCATTTGTAGATATGTATGCATAGGATGCTTGAATATTATTTAAAGGAAATAAATAGTTGGCTATTTCTTGATTGTTACCATAACTTTAATGATCTCCATGAAAAAAAGCTTAAAAGCAAATCAAAGCTTAACCTAAGAGGGTAATGAAAATATAATTATAACTTGTAAGCAATTAGTAGGATTATTTGAAACCCCAAATGGTATTATATAGGTGACAATGTTTTAGAAATACTTATATTATTTATTTTAGAGGAATAAAAATCAAACTAAAGATTATTCTGTAAATCAAATTTTAAAATTTAAATTTTTTCAAAAAGTCAGTTAAAAGCTCAGAAGTGTCTATAAATACAGTGCTTATAAGAGAGGCTTACGTGTTGTTATTTCACGGCTTTGTAGAATACTTGATTCTGATTGGTCAATAACGTTTGGGGGCGGCAGTAGATAAAGTTTATAGGTACTTGGGTTGGGAACCGGAGGGAGTCAGACAGTTGCTCTGTTAGCTGGAGAGGTGCTAGGGCACTTCCCGAGGACTGAAGAGGTGCCCTTGAGCAAGGCACCGAACCCCCAACTGCTCTGGTGCGCTCCCTGCATAGCAGTGTGTAGCTGCCCCACTCTGACATCTCTCCATTAATGCATGTCCACAGGTCCTGTTTGTGCATGTGTGTGATTCGGGCTTTTGTGTGTGAGAAGCATTTCTCTCAATAACAGAGTGTAAAACTGAATTTCCCTCAGGGAGTAATAAAGTTATTCAAAATCAAAGAAGTCACTCAGAGGTCTGCTGTCTCTATACTGTAGAGCTCGGCAGCTGAGTCCTGCTCACCCTGTCAAGGTTGTATTTCACTATAACAACAATAGTGAGCTAATCTTGTATTTGTAGGTACAATCTATATATTTAAATGAATTAACTTGTGAATATGGCCTTAGTGGAGTGAGAAGTTACAGCGTTTGAAAAAAACATGAAATGAAAGGACTTAAGAGTACAAGAAAAGTTAACAATGTATTATGGGAATGTGATAGAAATTGTTGTTCACATGACTTCATTATTTTTGTTTATTCTTTATGAAATGAATTAAGTATCTGAAAATATTTAAATTCTCTTTATCTGTGGTTTGTGAATATGAGCGCAGTTTAACACACTTAAGCAGAACACTTGGCTTCACTCAGACTTCAGTCGCTCACGTTGTCACAGACTATATTTAAAAGTAAATTGACAGGTATTGTGCCTGAAAGGTATTATTTAGGTGCATTATGTGTCACCTCTGTCACTTATGTTTCATGTTTTAAATGTCAGCTTCTAATGCTCGTCACTCGTGTGTTCTCAGTCAAATGGTGGCTGTCATGTAATCATCTCAGTTGTGTTTTAGCAACAGAAAACCTCTGGGCTGAATGAAATTGGTTGTGTATTTATGAAATGTAAATAAACCTTGAGTTTTTGCTGGGATGCTCATAAGAACTTGTTTCAATAATGCAATACACTTTATTCATTTTATTTATTTAATCTGTATTTGAAGGGGTTTGTTCCACTGCGCTCAGAGATCTCTTTTACAAAGAAGAGAATCAATCAAAGGGTCTGTTCTGACGTCGACACTGAGCAGAGGGATTTCTTCTCCACTCGCTTCTATTTCACATGAAAGGGGAGGAAGACTTGTTTGAATTGTTTATTCCTAGGTTTGGCTTTATAGTGACATAATGGATATGTGGCCCAAAGACAAAGAATTAGCAAATAAATGCCCAACCAAAGTCTAGAAGAGATAGACAGCCCCATGCAATGTAACTCTACCTTATAATCAAACTGAAGTTGGAAATCTTTAAATAATATGCTTGCTATAGGAGAAATAAGTGGACAAAAAACATTTAACGTCTGTTACCTTGAATATATTGAACAACTCTTCAAATAGCACATACTTCATCTGTAATGTGAAACTGATTTGTCTGTTGCCTTTTTAGTTTTTGGATTGAATTGGGTGTTTTTTATGCTTTTATACTGTATATAGGTTCTATTTTTTCTATTAAGGTCACTTGATTTCGGGATTGACTGAGTCATGATTAACATATAATCTTTTGGTCCAAAGACAAATGCTTCCAACAGGAAGACAAATGTTGATTATGGTAAAAACATTAACTTTAACTTTCATCTGACTAAAAGCAAAAATCAGCACTTTGGATATCTTTGTACTTTTGGAACATTTTATATTTTAGGAGGGCTATCTGCTTTTTTTATCTTTTAAATATTCTTATTCTTATGGCTATTAGTTATTGTTATAAGGGCTGCTTGACAAGGCTTTCACATGAGCATTGTTCTCACAGGAATGCCTTATTCAATTCACTTCAATTCAAAAAACTTTATTTGTTCCCGGTGGGCAATTCAAAGGCACACAGAGCAATAAATTAACAACAGTGCAAGTACGAAACATTTTAACCTAAATATAAAGTGTCAATTTAAATACAACTTAAAGCTTAGGCTTAACTTAAAAATACAAAATATAAAGGAGTAGATATAAGTGGACAGTGATCGGACTAACAGATGTAAACAGATGTAACCATAACTATGTGCAGTAGTGACCAGATGTAAACAGAACTATGTGCAATAAACGAGAAATAAATATATATATATACAGAGCTATGTGCAAGTAGGATAAATACTAAATACTAAATGAAAAGTTAATATGTTGCATGGTGAATAATGGAACAACAGAACTAATATATACAATATAACTGAAAAGGTAAAAATTAGATAAATAAAGTGACCGTAGTGCAATGATGGATAAAAACAACAGGAATAAAGTAACCAGAACTGTATGAATACTGAAATAAAATGGATAGAATAAAGTGATGTAGTGCATGAGACCAGATAAAGCAGAGGCAGTCAAGGCGCATCGATACTAATTGCAACATTTTCATTTCATTTCATTTCATATTTGATTTATTTGCTCAATTCAGTGTATGGTTTCAACACCACAATACACAACAAAAGATATTTTCTCATAATGCTGAAACACTGTTCATGAGCAAACAGGAGCAGGAAGAAGAAAACTTATAATACCTGCCCCTTTCCTAATAACACAAGATTTTTTATTTTTATTTCATTTAACCAGGAAAAAGTCTCATTAAGATTAGAAATCTCTTTTACAAGAGCGTCCTGGCCAAGACAGGCAGCAGCACAATTACAAGGTTTCAGACATAAAACACTTCAGTTCATTGTTGTGTGATCCAACACAACAATGAACATAAACACAGGAATCACAAAAAGAATCAGTTCATCAGAATCTGTCATAAGTCATGAGCAACAAAGCGATCAAAAAGGGGCAATACGAGTTAGCTAAAACATCTACAGTCAGATATTTCTGCCTCCAGATCATTAAGACGACCTTTAAAAATATTCAAGGAAACCAGCTCCCGAAGATTTAAAGTATCTTGCAACCGATTCCAAGAAGAGGGAGCAGCATACTTAAACGCCCTTTTTCCTAATAGAATAGAATAGAATAGAATTACTTTATTGATCCCTGGGACTGGGAAATTGTGGTGTTACAGCAGCAGGTTATCCAACACACAATATGAGTAAAAAACACAATGTTAGCAAATCTAAACACAATATAATATTAACTATAAAGTAAATAAGTACTAAAAGATATCAAAAATAAGAATGTGAATATATACAACCAGGATTTAACTAAGCATTACTAGTCTTAAATAGGAAGATTAAATATGGAAGATTGAATGTAAATGTGCAAAAACAGAGTCGTAGATGGTTATAAATTAAATATGAAAGATTAAATGTAAATGTAATGGATGGATAAAAACCCCAATATATTATTATTATAACCTGTTGTTTTTCTCTTTCTTTTGCGAAACAAAAAAAATAGATAAAAATATAGAAACAATGAAATACAATCAGTTAGATTAACTCAATACATTACAATACAATTTCCCAGAACCTTTTCTTTATACATTCTTTTAAATTGAATGATACTTGAGCAGCATTTTAAATGATTATTATTTATAATAAATATACTATTAATTTAACTCCATTTACTGAGACATAAAAAAAGACCCCTGGCTTTAAAGCATGTAGCTACCACATGGAAGCCCATTTCCGCCAGTTAAAAAAATAAAAATAAAAATAATAAAGTCATAATAATGAGATAAAAAGTCAAAATTATGAGATATAAAGTCAAAATGAGATATAAAGTCGAAATTATGAGATATAGAGTCATAATAATCAGATAAAAAGTCAAAATTATGAGATATAAAGTCGAAATTATGAGATATAAAGTCATAATAATGAGATAAAAAGTCAAAATTGAGATCAAAAAATTGAAATTATGAGATATAAAGTCGAAATTATGAGCTATAAAGTCATAATAATGAGATAAAAAGTCATAATAATGAGATAAGTCATAATAATGAGATAAAAAGTCAAATAATGAGATAAGTCAAAATAATGAGATAAGTCAAAATAATGAGATAAGTCAAAAATAATGAGACTTTTATTATTTTCATTTTTATTTTTTTTACTGGCGGAAATGGGCTTCCATCATAGACTGTAAATATTGGCTTCCATACTACCACCACTCTTGGAAAGATAAAAAAACCCAACATAGTGAAGGCAGTGCAGTGCTGGTTGGTTGTAATGTTCCTTTAAAGGCCGCTGCCCCCCTGCAGCGTCGTCATTGCGCAGAACAGTTTGAACCAAAAAGCGGAGTGACCTTCCTCCGCTCTCAGTCTGAGAGGGGCAGCACTGAAGCAAAGAAGCCGGTCACAGCTCCTACAGCCCCCCACATCTAGCCTCAGAAATGAACAACAACTTAGTCGGAGATGAAGTCGGGTAAGATCTATTTAACCAAAAACATTACTGAAACCCTGATGAAACTTTAAACTGTATTGTAAGTTGCAGAGAGCGCGCTTGTCTTGTCAAGCTCTCGTTTGACAGCTAACGTTAGCTCGTAGGCTAAGCTAGCTTTACTAAGTGAGCGAGATCGCTAGCCTAGAGGAGAAGACGGCCAACAACAAAAAAAAAAGTGAAAGTATTCATCGAAGTGGCTTAGTTGTTGCTGTTATTTCTTCCGGAGAAATGTGCCACGTTTGTCCGGAGTGCTGACACCCGGGTTGTCAAATGAATGATTTGATTATTGTTACTTATTTAACTGCTGTTCTCAGTTAGCTCGGAGTAACTCGGCTAGCTTAGCTCAACCCAGCGAAGCGAAAAGTCTCCTCTCGCAGACTTCTCACCACAGCGAGGACATTTAGCGGGCACTGCTGGAGGATGGAGCATCCTCCTCTCCACCGCTACTACTACTTCACTTTTTTTTCTTTCTCCCCCCCACACAGCCACTACATGCTGCCGGATGATACATTATAGAAGTCGTTATCTTTATTTGATTGTGCTTCTTTAATCACCGCTGAACTTCCAGTTTTTAACAAACCCGAGTTCAGCGCTCCGACCTGCGGGGAGCCGAGCTGCTCTCCTCCGCTACCCTCCCCTCCGATAGTGGGGGGTGGGGGGTGGGGGTAGGGTACTCTGGGTGTCACTGGTGTAGGCTCAAGTCAGTGTTAGTCAGCTGCTGTAGCTTTTTTGGATTCGGCTTGTCAGCTCATCGGTGTGCTAGCTTGCTAAATGCCCTGGCTCTGTCCCGGGGTAACTTACAGCCTGTTATTGTCAAGGCCATTGAATTCAGTGATAGAGGAACAAAGTGAGATCTCCAGCCCAGAAGACTCAAATCTAACATGACTCACACAAATGCAAGATATATATATATATTTTTTTTTATCTGGAGCTATGCGTATATTTCTGTGTAAGCTGCACCAGCTTTGGTATTAGCGTTGCTTCATGTTGTGTAATATCTGTGTACTTGACTGTTTAGTCAGCTGTAGCCTTGTATCCCTTTTTGAAACTGTGCCTGCAATTTTCCCCACCAATACATCTGTGTTTTTTTTTGTGTGTGTGTGTGTGTGTGGATAGGCAGACCTTTCTGTCTGTCGTCATGTCTTCAGTGTGTGTGTGTGTGTGACTTTGTCTGAAACAGTTTCTCATTTAATCTACCCCCCAAAGTGTTGATGTATGACTGATTTCATGGTCATTTCAGGAAACTTTTCGTTGGAGGATTGGACTGGAGTACCACACAAGGTAAGTCACATGTTAAACTCATGAAGGCTCTGTTTCTTTACTCACAAAATGGATTTTTTATGACCAGTGTAACCCTGCTGTGTAGCACTGCTGCAGCTGCAGGGTTTTTGCTTTCACACCACAGGATCTTGTTGGTATCTTGTTGAAAGTCTTGTTTGGAGTTTGAATTAAAAAAAAATAGACTCTATTTGATTTTCTGGTCACATTGAGCCATGACATATTCTTCACTGGGAAATATTTTCAAAACATCCAAGCATGTCCACTCTTACCTTAATATCACTTTTAATATCATTCAATTCTGTTGGACATAACAGAGTCAGAATCAGCTTTATTGACCATGTATGCTTAGACACACACAAGGAATTTGTCTTCAGTAACTGTGCGCTCAATGTACAAAAGGCAAGGCTAAATAGGATAATAGCAGTGCAAAAATGCCCAGATGATCTATATGCTATTATATAACAGATGATTAATTTACATGAGGTAGAGTTTTTTAACATATCATACAATACTTAAAAATAGGCTGTGCGATAAGCTCTCTGACAATATAATAACACCATGGCTGTGACTGTTTAGCAGATGGAGAAAGACTTGCTTCTTTATTCTGTGATCAGATGTTGTCTGATGTATCTGCCTGTTTGTGCATATATGCTGTGTGTCATTAAGGTCTCTCTCACAGCAGTGTTATGACACCAGTAGATACTAATGCAATTTAGGTGCCTGGATTATTTTGTCAAATAGAAAAGAACTGTGTGGAATGACATGATTTTAACACTATGGTAAAGTACATTATTGTTTTCTCACACATGTTTGTGTAAATAATTGTGTGTTGTATGGAAATATTGATGTGTTGATAGAACATTTAGTGCAATATTAACACATCTGATGCATATTCATGTATAACATATCAATTTAGTGGGTATTATATCACATTGACAGTAATAGAAACATGTCACAATGCTATAGCCCTGCAGAAGAGTGTTGGAGCTGTGCTGTGCATTTTCCAAGTATCTAGATTGCATTACTATTCATGCAAATGTCCCATGAAGTGTCTCTCAGAGAGTGTTGTAAGAGTCTGCTTGTGACCTCTGTTCAGCGTTATTGATGCAGTTTTTTTTGTATTTGGAATGTGTCATTCTTATTTTTGCTACCCTCTTGTTTTTTTTTGTTGCATTGTATTAACAGATTCTAAATCTTTAATCTATCTTAATGAACATCCAAAAAGACAAGAAAATAAATATACTTAAAAGACGACTGTGTTGCTCATTTGTGGGGTGCAGCTGCATTCAGGAGCCACATTTGCCACTGTATGAGTTTTAATATGAAAAGTAAATAACAGAAACAAGTTCACCAGGACTAGAATATCCTCCTGCTTCCATTCATTTGCTGATAAGGTCGTCCTGATTAGCCGGACCTATCTCTGCGTTTTGTTTTAATGCTGTGCCAATGGCCACGTTTAGTCTTTGCATAAGTTTAATAGTCAAACATTATATCTATATGCACCAAGTAATCCCTTTTTTGGCTCTTATTCTGAAAAAAAAAAAAAAATCCTATCAACTTTACATCGAAGAAGAAAATTTACATTCAACGATCATTCCCATTTACATGCAGCTTTAAATACTCTGATTAACCCGGCCTCCAAACTGTTGGCTTGTTTACAAGACACAGGGAGCTGAGGCCGTGTCTCACACACTGTGGTTAAAACCCTGAATGAGACAGGTACAGTATCCCTAATGTGCTTTACACATGCATAGAAAAACAAATTGTGACCAATACCAAATATCCAAAGTGAAATCAAATCCTTGATTAGGCTATTGGTGACATCATCAGTAATGATTTAGGATCAGTTGAAAACAGGCAACAGTGGTGGGCTACATTGTAAAGTCTACAGACTAAACCAGGTGTGTTTCTACAATATCCACTCATTCAGACCTGCTCAGAGATGGTTTAGTTGTACCAAAGGCCTTTACTGCCTCTTGCTCGGTTGGCTGTTGTATAACACTGCTAAAGGGTTTGCCTGTGTTAACCGCACTGTTAACATTAAGATCTGAACTACAACTCTATAACTCTGAGCTTGTTTCCGTGGCGATGCCTCAGGGCTTCCCAGCAATGAGAAAAGCAATTACGATAACTTGCTGCAAAGTGAGTCCTCATTTGTTCAAACTTGCACTCCTTGCTCCTGTGGGTGTGTGAAGGCGTTACAGTAGTAGGGTGTATATTTTGTGCCGTGAAACATGACAGTGGGTCAGCGCTTTGTTAGCCATTTAGGAGTGTTACTGTACACCTTGAGTGGGACTGCACTGTTTAATTTAACTGTTTAATTATTTATACATTTATTTTAATTGGTACAATTACCAATAATCTGTCTTAAGCAAACTCAAGCTTCAGCAACTTAACTTCATACCTTTGAGAACTTAAAGACATTATCTAAGCCTCATTCGTCATAATGAAAGAATGAGTTGAGTAAATAATGATCGTACCTTGCTTTGTTCTGGAGGGAAACAGGGCTGAGTTATACCTGGGATTATAATTCCACATTCACAGTATTGCTGCGTGTCTGTGTGCTCATTTTATGAAGCAGCACTGTTATATTATTTCTTTGTTTCTCTTCTCAGAGACACTGAGAAACTACTTTTCACAGTATGGGGAAGTAGTAGATTGTGTCATCATGAAGGACAAAACTACAAATCAGTCGCGAGGCTTCGGCTTTGTCAAATTCAAAGACCCCAATTGTGTACGGACGGTGCTGGAGACAAAGCCGCACAATCTTGATGGAAGAAATGTGAGTATTTGAAATAAAAGAGCAGATTGTCAAATCAGCGCAGTAATCAGCCTGCGTTTTGTGTGAACAATGTGAAAACCTCATCTTGTGTTTCATCATACAAAGGACTCAGAAGTTGTTCAAGGAGAAGTACAGTCTGGCTTTTGGTTGTACCTGCCTGCAGACATTTGTACCGATGATGCAGATTTTTGGCATTTGTATGCCCATCAAGACTAACCTGTTCAAAGCCAAATGAGCTAAATTGGCAGTTGAAAACCTGGATTTCTGAGAGATGACTGTTAATCTGGTTTTAACCTCTAATGCTTCCATACAATCAGTGTCCCGTGAATGACATGCTGCCTCCTTTTTTTTGTGTTAACTGAGGCTGAGAAGGGCATAACATTTTATTAGCCGTACATTTAAATTAATGTGTGTCAGTACATGTGTTTCTCAGTAGTGGGAGGTGAACCAATATACTGTAATAGATTCAGTGAAGAAGGACATCTGAAGGTGCCTTTAATTTGGGCCAAAAGTCAAACGCTATCTCTCTCTCTCTCTCTCTCTCTCTCTTTATTGCTGTCAGATTGACCCGAAGCCTTGCACTCCCAGAGGAATGCAGCCTGAAAAGTCTCGAACCAAGGAGGGCTGGGTAAGAGGAATCTGATTTTTACTTGGGGAGGCCACGTTAGGATGTCAATGTCTCCATCCTCACTCAATGACTTTGACCTGAATCTCATTTTCAGATTTTTCATTTTCTCTCTTAAAGGATTGCTTTTTGCATCCTTCATACCTTTGAGAATTCTTTAAATGAGTTTGGGGTTTTGATAAATCACAGAAGCATCTTCTTGTGACCAAGGGACTGCAGCAATAACTGTAGATATCTGGTTCAGCGTTTACTGGGCTGAATTGTTGACTTGTTCAAGTTACAGTTTCCAATTGTAACAATTACATATCTTCGATAAGGCCATGCTAGATAATACATACACCTTTGAATTTGTTTTTAAATTTCAAACAGTTTTTGAATTTGGATCTTCAAAATATTTTTTCTTCGCCAAAATTTATTTTCTACAACTGCATTTCATAAAGCTAAGAAAAAATGAAAAGCCTTAGATTTGAGTAGACTGGTAAAGTACAGGAAATTGCCATCCGCTGTAATTTTTATGAAAGACAGAAGTCTCTGCACCAACTTGGGTAATTTGTTACTCAATCAAAAATGCTATCAAGCCACTGCAGCTCTATTAATCATTTTGTTTATAATGCATAGGCTTTGGTTATTGCTTTTGCTATGAAAATATGTTTATAAGTCTCGTATTTGGCTGAAGCATGGCTAAAGCAGAAGATGTAATCGTTAAAACTTACAGTTGTCTTGAGCAGCCTCTAGCCCCAACAGCGTGAGCGTAGTGCACAGCCATGAAGTGCTTGGTGGATGAGAGTAAGTGGAGTAAGCCGTGCTCTCTGATCTGTGGAGACTAGTGTTTGCATTGACATGACATGTTAAGAATTATACCCCAGGGCAAGAGGAGAACCTAATTTTTCTGCACTGTCTGAATAGATGTTGGCTAACTGGCCTCCTCCAAGAGTGATCCTTCTTTAATAGACATTGAAATCCATACACTCCCTGTTTTCTTTCAGAAGGGCAGCAAAGCTGATAGCAATAAATCAAAGAAGATATTTGTAGGTGGAATCCCCCATAACTGCGGCGAGCCTGAACTCAGGGACTATTTCAATAGATTCGGAGTGGTGAGTATTGCAGAGCACATAACGCAAGTCAGTTCTTATCGTTATTTAGAATGCTTGAATGGATGTGACTTTGGACAGGGTCAATACTATAGTATGAAAATTGTAATTTTAGTGGAATGCCTTTGGACAATTAATTATTATTTGATCAAATTGTGGTAGAATATTTAATTGGACAATGAAAGGACGCTGTCTGGTTTTCTAAATGGAGCCACTGTTTCCCTTTTGTCCCATTCAAGGTCACAGAGGTGGTAATGATCTATGATGCGGAGAAGCAGAGGCCCCGAGGTAAAAGCTGATCCCGTTTTTTCTCTCCCCTCTCCATACCTTACCATCTTAAATCTCATGACAAACTATTCTGGCCCAAAGAGAAAAAAGCCCATTCAGATGGAGATATTCAATTTAATTACAACGCTGTCACCCGTAGCGGGCACAACACACACCTTTAAAGCACAAAAGGATGTAAAATAAAACCTTAAACTAAGTCAGCACAGTGGAAATAAAATGTAAGAAATCACTGACTGTTTCTTAAGATGTAATGAAAAATGCTCTTCTGTGATATACATGAAACCTTAAACAGGTAATTCAAATGAACACAGATAAACTTGCCTAATTGTAAAAGTCTTTAATATGATACAGAACTAGATGGCCTCCTAAAATAATTTCTCAGCCTTTTGTCACGTGCTCAAATGTGATGATTGCTTCAGAAATGGCGGGCTGTGATGAGGACTGATGCAGTGTCCTTCATGACCTTGTGTAAGAACATAGGACTTTTCCACAGACACATTTCCACTCGGTCAAGTATATTATTTCTAGGAAAGAAGAGTTCTTCAGGCACTCCTAAGGAGAGCAAGGAAAGATTATATCTTAAAAGCCTTTAGACGAACATTGGTTAAGCCTTTGGCCGGCTTTAACCTCATTTGGTCCTCATCAGGGCGGATATAGAAAAACGGTCTCTGGGCTTACAATATGTCTTTCTTCTTAAGTTGATTATGATGAATACATTAAAAATTAGCTATCCCCACTAAAGCCGTTTTCACATATGCACTCCGGATAATATCTAGATAATTGCAGGACCGCTCCGGAGATTCTCCCAACCTAGCCGTTCACATATGCTCCTCACAGCGGGGGACTTTCCCTGTCAGAGGGGAGGGGGCGCGGGGGATTTCTTGAGGTAAGACGTGACGTAAATAAACAATGCGGAAGTAGCGGCCGAAGCAACAGAGTCCGCTACACGATGTTATAATGAGAATATTTGCCTTTATATCAATGCGATGTGTAATCCAATGGGATGACAACATCCACAAAAGAGAGGAGAACAACATACTGACGAACAGAAAACATTATGCAGCCGTTTAATTACGTGCAAGGAGATCGTAGTGGTCGCGTGCAGACACTTTAGGCCAGTGCTTCCCAAAGTGTGGGCTGCGGCCCCCTGGTGGGCCGTGTGGATACTACAGGTGGGCCGCAAACAGGCCTCCACCAGGTATAAAAATTTAAAAAATATCACAATATTCAGTGTTCGCCCCCGCCCCCCCTTGATGGTCAAGTTCATGTTATTTTATTTTCTAGCCTATATAGCGCAAGATCACAACATAAGTCATTTAAGGATACCTTTCCTATAGAACAGGTATATGCCTTGTACTTGTATTAAACAAACTTAATAGCCGTATGTTATTTATCTTATTTACACGACGGCATGTCATTTCTGTCTCTACATGGTCGCGCATTTACAATTCTCCTCTGCTCTGTGTCGCGCACGGCGGCGTTTTGCCCCGATGCGCACACACACAGACACACGAATCCAGAACGGTAAAGCCGTTTATATAATGAAGCATGAGTTTGAGGCTTGTGTGTGTGTGGTTGTGTCTCAAGGATGCACACACAATAATAAAAAGTCTGTAAGAAGCATCAGAAAATACAGTAGTCTGCTTAGTTGTCTTCAGACTTTTCTGGGCATGTCTCTCTCTCTGCCGTTACTCAGGAGATGCGCTGTTAGCATGCTGCATTCAGGGGAGCTCAGACAATGAGAGATACATTCAGGTGCGCTCAGAAACGGGAGACGCAGGAACAAAAGCTAAGCTGGTCAGACCGTTACAAATTCAAATAGTTGTTCATTTGTTATATTTATTGCTGTTATTAAAAGAAACACATGAACACCATGATTCCCTTAAGTGTCTGTGGCAATGTCCGACTGACACACCCCAATACATGTATTTCAAAGTGGGCCGCGGCAGTCTTAAGTTTTGGAAAGGCTGCTTTAGGCAGTCACTGTATATAAACGTCACTCGGTTCCCATTGGCTCGAATTGAATTCTCCGAAGTATATGCTGCCGCGTTCAGACATCAGCTCACTCGGACTTTCTGCAGATAAAATACTAAGGGTCTTGCCGGAGAAACGGGTTAAGTCTGCGCGAAAAATGCAGCTGTTTGCGTTCACACATAGCCTAAAGTACCTCCGGGTAGCCAAATCTCCGGAGTTTTTCAGGAGATATCCTTATGTGTGAAAGGGGTTTAACTGTGCACAGAGGGGCCTCCTTTAAGGTGTTAGCAATGTTAGCCTCCAAAGACGAGAAGAAGCTAAATACATTTCAGAAACTGTGATTACCAGGTTGTCCTCACAGTAGTCTCACTAAAGCACAATGCAATTCAGCAACATGATGCTTCATATTCTAAGGAGAGAGAGCTAGCTGTGTAAGGATAACCATGCTGAACCGGTTACCGATTTCAACGTTAAAGGTTCCGAGTTCGATGGACTTGATTCTCACAAGACTAGCATGAGCTTGTAGTTATCGATAGTTAGCTCACAAGAACAAAACAACAGCGTCCAAAATCGCGTCAGCAATTTAGAGTTCTCCATCTCAGAAATCAAGACATGTGGACTTAATTTGGAGGAAGAGAAACTTTCAAGAAGTTTGCTTCTTTACACTTTGTAGAAAAGTGTCACAAATACTTGAATGTCACTTGCAATTCATGTGTGATAATCAGAGAAATTAAGAAAGGAGAAAAAAATATCATGTCTTGAAGTGTTTTGATGATTTCATTCCTGTCATAGTAAAATTGGTTTGAATTTTTGCTTCTTGGGGAATCAGGTCCTTTGTTTTAAGTGTTAGCAGAGCTTTACAAAGCCCACTAAGAGAGATGTACAGAAGAGCTCAAATTTCAGTGACATTTTCCGATGTGGATATGTAAAAACAGCTATAGTAACACAAAACATTTCTTCCCCCAAACTACCTTTCAAAGTGTGAACTACATAATATACATAAGGACAGAATATTTTCCCGTACAGTAGGCCTGCTCTCTTGTCTATAGGAAAAGTAATGAAAACATGCACATGTTATTTTGAACTTTTGATTCAATTATCTTTTGTATCGGAGCAGATTTAATGAAATTATACCGAATTTAATCGTACTGAATCATTCTATATTTTAATGAGTCATCTCTGAATCGGATCGTAGCTCTAGAGAATCTAATGGGATCGTAATCGTCTTGTAAAGTAGAGATGCACACCTTTTGGAGAGAATCTTTGAGCCCCAAGAATCTTTGATCTACTACAAAGTAAAACTTACTACAGAGTTACAAAGCAAAGGAAGTCAGTAACTTTTAAAGAGAGAAGGCAGGTTGCAGGAGGAAAGTAGGTGCTCCAAAAAATTCGGTACTTCATCACAACATGCTACTGGCACATTGAGCACAGTTCGAGTGTGTTTGTGGGGGGAGGGTGGGGGAGCGGGGTTGTCCTTTAAAGAGGCTGGTTGCAGTCACAGTGCTGAAGGTGAAAACTACATTGTTATCATAAGAACAATGGTATCTGTTAAAACAGGGTTTAAAAAAAGCTTTAGCTTTGACAGAAATCTCAGACCTTTTCTTAGAGTAAAATTACAGATGATTAAATCCTCTTAATAAATGAGTCGTGAGTTACTGACACTTTTAGAATGGATGGCCTCACTGGGAATCAGACCCCACGCCACCAGCAGTGTTGGTGTCAGACTCTGCTCGCTGACTTACAGTCACAGCTGTTTCATCTGCATTTGTCCTACATAGCAGTGATGCAGCGGCCTCTGACCTACAGCATGCATTCCTGCTCTTCTTCAGACCTCCCATTCATTCTCTGTTGGGAGAAACTCAGAATAGTTTGTCACTGGAATTTAACATGATGTACGTAGTGCACCAGTAACAACTATAACATAATCCTTAATAGTATAAATAATGATTTTACTAAAACCATTAGCTTTTTAACACTGGATTAAGTTTTCTTTACATTGATTAAGTCTTAACCGATTCTTGTTTCTTAATTGGTATAGTATGTGTTTTCCCATATGTAGAAAGTTAAGTATTTTTGTAAGTAAGCCCTTTCTATTTTTCTTTCTTCTGTCCCCCTTCTCCCTGTGAATGGTTTGAATGTGATTAACGGTGTCTCTTAAGATTTGTCTTTTCTCCTTTAGGTTACTGTGCATTCACTGGTAGCCCAGAGGTACAGGCCAAATGTAAAGGCACCAAATTATGTCATACTTGGTTCAAATGGGGCATATACAAAGTTGCATCAAAGTTGGCTGAATGTTTGCACATTATTATTATTATTATTATAATAAGGCAGAGTGAAAGAGATTATTTTCTTTTTTTCCTGGAAGAAAAAAGAAAATGCTGGTGAAAATCATGAAATAGTTTATTCAGAAAGTTTGCACTAGCTTTCGATTAGAATAGTTGAAAGGTCAAAGTATTTTGCTCAATAAAGAGCAAATGAATTAGAATAAAGAAAACAACATTTTTAGTTTTTACCACAAAGTACCTTGAACAGTATGTAACTCAGCTAATTGTATCAACCATTTCTCAGCTCTATCCTAATTATAATTTGTCCACAACCTTTTGGTTCTTATCAGAAGTTTAAGTTCTATAAATGTTCTTCTGAAGCGTTACTAAGACATGCCAGCTTAACCAGGATATGTCAAACTGTTTTATGTGTCAACTTGAATTTAAATTTAGATAAAGGACGGGTCATTGACAGATGTTATTAATAGCGATAGATCATGAAGCTTGGGAACGCTTGGCAGGGTACTAGAGGTCTCTAAAAATCTTGGTTGTCTCTTAGGATGGTTAATTGGATTCAGGTTAGGTCCCGAGGTAGAGCTGTGTGCACAACCCAGATCTGCCATAGCGTAATGTGAATCAGATTGGAAGTAGATCACAGCAGCACAGCACTCACTCTGAAAAGTTCTGCTACAGATTGTCAAATAAAAAGTTGAATGAGCAGGTGGCGTGATGAAGTTTTGGACCTTGGACCTTTTGTTGATGACCTTTGTATATCTCCCATGAAAACTCTTGATTAAAATCAGCAGTTCCCACTTTAAGAAAAAAAAGATGTGGCCTATATCTTTGTGTTACCTTTGTGAGCAATATTTTAATTGTCCATTTAGGCTTATCCTGGCTGACTCAAAAGTAAAATACAGAATTTGGGAAAGCTTGGAGAAAGCTTTAGGCATTCTACAGTTTGTGTTTCTCCATATTTTTGTGATGCATTAACAATGGCTGCTGCGAGTGTGAGCTCCACAGCGAAATACCAAGGGACAGATCAAGGTGGGGTTTGGATGAAACGGCATAAAGTAACAAAATGTTGGTTTGATTGGCATATAAGATTGAGAGTGGGTGGAGGATGCACTTAATTGAACTTTTTCATTGTGACATTTCACATGAAATCAAATGCTGCACTCATCAGTCGTCATGTTTAGCAGTTAAGCAGTCCTGTGTTGTTATCTTCACTAAATTTTTCACTGCACAGTAAAGAAAAAAGTTTCCTTCAATCCCTCAGGCCTTAGTCTTGGATTTGTGTTGTTCTCCGAGTCTGCGACATCATCCGAACCCCAGGAGCCTCTTGCTCAGTCTTGACGGATCCTCACTCTGCTGAAGCCCAATACTGTTCTTCATCTTGTGTTGTCACAACCCCCCTGCTACCTTGATTCACTCTTGGTCGTTGGCTAGGTTTTGGATTTATTACTTTCGAGGCCGAACAATCAGTGGACCAGGCTGTCAACATGCATTTTCACGACATCATGGGCAAAAAAGTGTGTAGTTGTAGTTTTATTTTACCCTTAAGACCGAATAGAGGCTTGGGTGACAAAATGAGAGATGTACTATGATGCTGCTTTAAAAGGACATTCACATCATATAACAGAATGGTAACCTCTTTAAATGATCAGACCACTAAGTTAATGTCTTGATGTTTGCCAATAATGCATTATGCTCTCAACCAATACAACCCTTATACTTACAGTATGTCAAAGGTCCAGAGGCTTAATGATCCTTCATGTATGCTGTTATAATACAGTTTCTATTGTCACCCAAGGCTTTGTTTACACTGACCACTCCTTTAGGATGTCTAATCTACATTTGATTGCTAATTTGAAACCTACATGGTTTGATCTGTCTTTCGTAAATTTGAAGATATTAAAGCCAAAAAAGACATGAAGTCTAATAACTAATAACTGTAAATGATTCCACAGACTATAAACCACCTAAAGGATTGGTCCAATCAGTTCTGTTTCTTTTGTTTTCTGATATTTTGTTGGCAGGTCACTTACATGTCAACATGTTTTTTTTTTCTTTTTGAAAACTTAAAAGAAAAAGCTCAAGTCAGTGACCTCAGTTGAAGAATCTCCATACTGTGTCTGTCAGCTCTCTAAAGAACAAATGGCAGTTCTCTCTGAAACGCTGCTCAGGATGAGACATGAGTCTCACAATAATATTTGCATGTCACTTGTAGTGTTTGTTTTTACTCAGTGGGTGTACCAGATGGCTGGAGTTTACTGTGCAAAGACACTTCAGATAGTGTCAGGTAATCTATCCATCCGGGAAATAAATAATTATTTCACTATAGTGTTATATTTAAGCACAATTCCTTACCCTCTGGCATGCAATCTATTGTTCTGTTGTATTTGGAAGTCTCCCACCACCTGGTACATTCAGCAGAGTAAAACAAACCACTAAAATATCTGTAGTAAATTAAAGTACTACTTGATAAACATCTGGCTAGGATCGGTCCTGACACTTGGATTTAAAAGGCTCTATTAAAGCTCTCATTCACTAACAACCTCCCTTTTCCCCAAAAGACACTTTGTAATTAGCAGCTCTTAAATCTCTGCAGAGATACAAGAAGAGAGACAGTCTCTTTTCTGCCCTCAATGAAGACAGAAATTATTTGTTTGTATAAGAAAATAATCAAAGTCAAACACAGCTTCTTAATATTTATCCGGTAGTGTCATAACAGATCATCAAGTGTCTTCTTTTTCTGCTATTCTTCAGACTTACATTTCATATTACAATATTTAGAGGTCAGTCTGCAATGCTTGACATGTTTGATATTTGTTCAAAGCTTTTGAACATTTATTGACGCTGTTAAAGCAGCTTCAGCTTTGTAAAGTCCAGAAAATGTAAATACTTTTTTAGCTTTTTGTTTTGCTATGGGAGAGTAGGAGATACAGTAAATAATGCAGAAGTACTTTTGGGATGACATGCAACAGAAGTCTGAACCAGGGACGTGGAGGGCAACTCCGTAAACTACTTGACCTCAGAGCGATTATTTTGTTTGTTGTAAAGCATTGATAAATTACGTGATGCTTTTTAACTATTTTTAATTCATTTTTTTCCAAGAGAAGAGCTACCAGATTTGCTACATTTTGTAATATCAATCTATTATAAAAAGTAAATGCAAGATATTGTACTGAATATCACTGATTGATACATAAACAAGATGATCTTAATCCCAGTTCTGGGTAATTCATTACACCCAACCTGTGTACTCTCAGTGGTAGCCGCCCCCCTTGACTCTGCCCTGGTTTCAAGCAGGAATGAAGACTCAACTTAATCCATTGTTCTTGACTTGACATTACCTTACCTGGGACTTGAGGGAGACTGGGAGATATGTGTTACAAAATTAGAAATTGGAGCACATCAAACTGTGCAACAAATCCCAGTTCTGCTGTTGGGGACTGTACAGGAGTCATGGTATCCATCACTCGTAGCTGTGATGCCCACGGGAGAAGGTACTCAGATAGCTGCCGGTGGCGGTGGGGCCACTGCCGGAAACATGTGCATGTAATTAGGTCGACAGAGAAGGAAGAGGGGAGGCTGGGGAAGGTGGCAACACCTTAAAGCGGGAAGAAATTTGCGATTCGTTTTCCTCCTGCAAGGTGACCCTAATAACTCAACCCCTCAGTCTATTTCTGGTGGCTCCCCCTTAGTCTCAACCTGTTTCTTTGCTCTGGTTAACTGCTGATAGCTTTGCCTAGTTGCAGGAAGTATTATTTTTGGGGTGGTACATTAAATGAGACTTTATGTCATCCACCGCTGTAACGCTTTATCACCTTTGTTTAAAAGTTAAGTCATGGATGAAGTCTCTGAGCAGATTGATACTGAAAGTAAATATTACCCAAACAAAAATAAAGATAAGCTTTATTTTTATGATAGAAATATCACCCCAAAAAACTACAGATCTCTATTCTTTTTGGGTTGCAGTGATTTCACGTTATATTCTGAGATCGAAGTGTTTGAGTCTCGTGTACTCAGTTGAAAATATTTTCTCACCTTTGACACAGTATGAAGATTCAATGAAAAATTGACTGAAAAGACTGCTTATGTTTAATATCTGCATGCCTATCGTTTATATTGTGTTAGAACTAAGATACAAATTGATCTCTACATCCATTCCCCCTAAAACTTAGTTAACATTAAAATGAAATGAGATTCTTAAAAGCGTTAGCTGGATAAAGGTAAGTCATGAGCTTCAATTAGATGACTTAATTATAAATGGGGCATTTTATTTAAGAAAAGCAACAACACTATGTTTCTCAGGTACATCACAAGAGACTCTTGACCTGGAGTCGATGCATTTACAAACAAAAAGTAATGTCATTTCAGTATTTATTAGTTTACTTTGAAATTCCAACTTGGCAATCAGTACCTGACACACATAGTTGTACAGCTACAAAGTTAACATTTAGACAACATTTAACAACAACCCCTCATTATTCGAATACAAATAAAATGGAAGATTTCAAAAGGGCCCAACATGTTGAGATTAAATTATAAGTTTTAGGACAGGTCTGTCTAGGTGAGGGATTTCATGGACAGTATACAGGTGTTGCCAAATGTGTCCTCCTTGTCCTTTGTCCAGGTGGAAGTGAAGAAGGCTGAACCTCGTGACAGCAAAGCTCCTGGCCAGCTCTGCCCTGGCCAGTGGGCACCCAGGGGCATCTTGAGTGCAGCTAATGGTTGGACAGCACAGCCTGCCCAGGGCTGGCAACAGGCTTACGGGCCACAGGGTGAGTGGGAACGAGTCCCAGTGCAGAGTGAGAGAGGCTCACTGTTCAGAGAGAAACCTAGCGACTGTTTAAATGTGTTAAACCTGCTGCTTCTTCATTAGCCTCCAGCATGTGGGTCAGTTTCAATGTTAAACAGGATTCTGTAGACATTTTATATTTTAGCTGACTGTTATGTCCTCAGTCTAATGTTTTTTTTTTTCTGTTCCTGAAGGAGTGTGGGTGTCGACAACTGGCCAACCCATAGGTAGGTGTTTCATCTCCTCTTGACAACACACAGAAAATATCTTTTCTTTCCATTTAGTGAGTTCTGTTTTTGTAAGTTACATTACTGAATGGATCAATTGCAGATATGTTTTGTGTATTTTCTGTGTGATCGTTTTCTTTTCTTGAAGCTCTTGTGTCACAGAAATGGGCTTGCACTCAGTGCGGCCAATAGGCTGATGACAGTTAACAGCAAGTGTTATCACTGATTCATAATGGCTGAGGCTGCTGATAATTTGCTGCTTGGGACAGATGGCAGCCTTGAATAGATTCCAGCCTCCTCCTGCTATTGGTCAGGCTTGGTTTCATATCACCACCTCCGGGTCAACCTGCATAGCTCACTGCAGTGTCAGCCCTTCAGTTTCATTCAACTTCAGTTTGTGTTCTGCAAAGCCAAATATTTCATATTAATCAATTCATATTAAATTTTGGGCCATCATTCAAATCTTTTTTTTTTTAAATAAATAAAAGGTATTCTATGTTACATTTACTCATTTTAACGCTTCAGAACTTTTGAACGTATGTCATAGTTTTTTAGGTTCATACTTAGATCATTCAGATGTTTTTATAAGACTCAAACTGAGTGATTCGTGATGCGTCTGTTAACAAGGAAGGAAGTAGACAAGCTTCTTGTTGTCTAGTTGTGCTTATAGATATTTGATTAGAATGAAATTGATTTGTATAAATAAACACGACTAAATGTAAAACCTTGATACATACTTATCTGTTAACATTATTTTAGCTGGAGTCAGGACAAACAGGTTTACATAGTTCAATAAGCAGCTCTCTTTATTCTACCATATTTCACAATGTAATCAAAGTACTTCAGAGTCCTAGCAGCAAATATTATTAAACTAATGTAAGACATAGACATATGTAAAGTAAAACCATTTCTATACAAACTTCTGTTCTGTGTTGGAGCAGGTGGGTACGGACCTCCATTGTCCGTGAGTCGAGGAACCCCCACACAACCTCCATCACCTTTCAACGCATTCCTGGTCACGACCCCGGCGGGCAGCTTCGCTGCACCTCAGGGCTACCCTCAGCAGGGCTACAGCACAGCACCTCAGTTCGGTCAGTTACTCAGATATCCTCCTGCTTACACTTACACAGGTATTAACAGGTAACCTAGCATATATGCTAACACTGTGAGTTATGTGGAAACGTTTCTGTGGATGTCTTTTGATTTTCAGATAAAGGTAACAGTCAGCTGTGTTGAAATGTCATTTATTTTGGTTTCCTTCTTCATAGTGCAATAGCCTCATGCGAACATGAAAAGGTCCTATATCCTCAAGGCAGAATATGTTTTCATGCTAAACTAGTAATTCATTTTCTGCTTATAAAACACATGTTAGGGCTGTTGCTGTGGTCAGGGAGGAACTTCTTATCAGAGATGGACAGCATGACTGCAAATACTCTTTTCACGAGAAGAGAGGTCCTTAATTGCTCTGAAAGCACAGTCGATATTCTAAAGACACGCACATGTAAAATGTGTTTGTTTCAGCAACAATTTAGAACAGATTTAATAGAAAGTAGATTTTTGCTGTTGTATTTTTTGTATGATGTGTGATTTCGTTTTTTGTGTGACTGTGAACATTGAAGAAGAACACTGAGGCTTTGTACTGCATAATGTTACATCTATGACAAAGAAACGCTTGGAAATTATTTACAGTAAAAGTCATTGAAATGGTCTTGTTACTCTCCAACAGGTTACAGTTTTGGCACACCCCAAGCAGACCAGTATGCTCCACAGGTTCCTCCTCCTCCCACCACTCCAGGAACAGCACCTCTGGGCTTTGCCCCCGCCACTACACCAACTCAGGACTTGAGCAAAGCTCCCACTGGGCAGCCTGACTTCCCTTATAGCCAGTATGGTAAGACAAACATTGTGCATCTAGTTTGTGCATCTAGCAGTTTGCTGCCCTTTTCTCTCCCATTTAATTTTGATTCACGCCTTGGTCCTGCCCATCTCCCTGGATATTTTATGGATGCATACAAAGCTCATTAAAGTGCACATCTCCAGCCCTTCCACAAGCAGGAGCTTGGTACCATTAAGCTTGAACAGCTACACATGCATACATGCTTCTTGCAAACATAAACCCCTATGGCCCTTGCCCTGAAGATGCTGCTCAAGTGTCACCATATCCAGGAGTCTTCAGCAGTCATTTCTGTCTGTTCCAGCTGGGCTGTGGATTGGTAAAAAGATTGGTAGGTTTAAATTAGATCATCCTGCCTTGCAATGTTTTCTTTTTTGCTTTGCATTTTTTTATTTTTAAGGGGGTTCAACCTTTTCCTGACTGACTGTACAAGACATGACAGGTAGAGTCAGTAGTAATGTTTGTTGCAGCTTGTTGACACATTATCAAACTGGGCCCCTCCTCCTGGGCTCATCGCCACTAGAAGCACACACTCACTGCAGGGTTAGCATGTATGTCGTTTACTGCTTGTACCTACACTGCAACCTACCTGAAAATATTACATCAGTTGTTAAGGAAAAGCCAATAATTAAAAAAGCTAGCACAAGCTAACTGCCAGTGTTTTGCACCTGCCTGTCCAACAGAAAGCAGCCCAACTCTGAGTACTTGGGTGAAAGCCAACCCAAGGTTCGCCCTAGTTTTGGAACAAGCTTTATCCGTGTGGCATTTCTTTGCCGCTACGTCTGCATCCGTAATATTTCGGAATTTCTTCCAATCCTTGATTTGTATCAACTCCCAAACTCACCTACGCACTGTCATTGGCTGTGGGAAACACATCCGCTCCCCACCCAGAAACATCCCTAGTCTACAAAAACATCACAATATAGGACAGGATCACTGCAGACACAGTCACCACCACACATGTATAGAGGCCCATAAGTAATATAGGGAAGCATTAGGTTGTATAAGTATATTTATTTTTTGGGAAAAAGCTACTGACTCTATCTTTAAACTTAGTTCTAGAATTCCTGCACTTTTTGATTACTGCCTCTTCCACCTCCTCCTCTTCCTCCCTGTTGATGAATTTGGTGGCTTCTTTCCCCGGTCTTGACACGATCGGCACAGAAGAGAACCAGCATGACCATAGAAATCTTATTTCTGGAATTAGGCATGTCCAACTGCCAAGTTAACTCACAAAAATGTTCAATGTGTCGCATCAATGCTGCAGGGCTTTGCATGTGTGTCTACAAAATGTGAACCTGCCCTGTGGATACACTCAGGTTTTAGATAGAGGCAATGCATTGTTAAGTGCCTGTAGGTTCTACCTTCTGATGGATACATTGTGGTCTTTGAGTTTGATTGCTAGTAGAGATTAATAATGCCTTATGACAGTATTCAGCGAGAATACACTTGTCCTTCTGGATCTTTTACTGGCTGGTTCATTCTTGGCTAGCATGAATGGCTTCAAAATAAGATATTTCATTAAGCCTCTGTTGTTAGAAAATGATGTGCTTTAATCATTTTGTAATTTAAAACATTTAGAGAGTAGATTCTCTTTTGATATATTGTAAACGCATGCTGGATTTAGAGTTTTAAGATCATGCTGAGAACAGAAACAGAGACTGAAGCTTTTCATCTGTAAACCAAAATGAAGCCTGAGATACTGTGAGAACTAACCAGCCTCCGTGGAAATATAACAAGCTTGGTCTTCATTCAACATTCACTCATTCTGTTACACATACAAGCACACAGTCAGATAAGAGTCAGATGTTCATTCAGAAGCTACATTTAGTTTTTGCTGGCTCCTTTTTTCCCTCTGACTTGGCTTACAGCTGCTTCACACTGCTGGGTCCACATTGAAAGCAACCATGTGATTGCTGTCAGTCATGACAGGCACCCATCTTGTTCAGTGTTTCCTGCTTGTGCTTATCTTCCATCCAGCTTTTTTTTCATTTAGTTGGCTGCCTGTCTAGGAACTGAGTCTGGTAACCAAACTCTTTAGTAACAGCACAGTCTCAGGGTTTTTGTAAAATTAGCAGGACATTTGGTTTTGTGGACAGAAACGCACAAACTCTTACACTAAAATAATTGAGAGTATGTAAGTAAGTAAGTTGTTGAGGTTCGACAAAGAAAGAAAGTTTGGATTATTTGGAGTTTGGGAAATGTAGAACCAGAAACAATAATCTGTTTTTAAGCAAACCATACATTCGTTGGTATAATATGAAACATTAAACTTGATTGATAGGTAAGGTATTATGAAAAGTTTTTGACTCTTATGTCAAAATTAACTCTTGGTGCATCAAAGAAGTTTAAGAATATATTTCTTATATATATATATATATTATATAATATTTCTTTAGATCAACTAATTAACTCTGGGAAACTAAACTTTGTCCCTCACGTAATGCTAATGTCCTTGAATGACCTGACACTGAAGAGGTCTGTTGTGCCTCGACTTATTTACACAAACAACATCAAGTATTTACAATAGACAGTGCGTCCAACAGCGCCGCACAACACTGTAGTGGCATTTTAAACAAAAATAAATCAACTTTCGATTTCAAGTTAGATATGATATTCTGAAATAAATGGAGACCATCAGTGACATCGATGATGAGAAGGCTACAAGTCTTTGTCCTTCTTTGGAAAATGTCACACAGGGATGATGGAAAAAAAATCAAATCAGTATCAACTTGGCCCAAAACAATTGCCATTCTTAATATGATCCTAAATATAATCTATATTATCCTAAATACAATCTCATATTATCATCTAAATGTCTTTAAAATGGCACTTATACATCTTTCAATCACTTAACCTTACATCTATTTAATTACTTATCTATTTTATCACAGAAAGTCTTTTTACGTTTATACTTTTTACTTAAAAACAATCAAATAATCTTAGATAAGGTTACCAGAAATCATAAAATCATTAATTACAAAATGAATCAATAAACAGCTATGTTAAATATCTCACCAGACTTTCACATTTTAAACCTTATATTGTCCCCACTCACTGCTGGGGTTTTCATACTCCCTGTTTCTAGTGGCTTCCTTCTTATAATATTTGCTTGCCAATGAAAATGTATCTCACGTTACCTACGTCTAAGAATATCATGCACATTTCACAAAATTTCATGAGACCAGGCTGGCATGGTTTAAAGTCTAGCAGCAGGTAGCTTACACGCTCACAATACATTTTGTTTTGACTTCCAGATGAAGCTGAGCAGAGATGACTCTCCAAGCGTAGTGCAGACGCAGTAAATAAGAATAAATGTTCAGCTCTGTTAGCTCAGTAAGGGGGGAACATTGTAAAGTAGTCGGCCAGCAGTATCTGGGTTCAGTCAACCTGGTCTCCTCATCTCCCTGATAGGCTTGGGTAACTACCCTCAGGACCCCTCTGCCTACGGACCAACGCGTCCTTCTCACAGTTATGGTCAGGATGAGCAGGGAGGATATAGTGCAGGTAGGTGCCAGCATCGTCTTCTACAAACACAAAAGCAGAATTTGTTCAGTACTGTAGTGTTTATAGAGCTGCAACCCGGTTCTTTTCCCTCTTTTGTTTGCTCCGTCTATCATATTTTGCATGTACATTTTGCATGTACATACAAATTACTGCCTGCACTCTTGCATAGTAAAATACAGCCATTGACAGTCTCACAGCTGAGTGGATTTGAAAGAAATTAACATTGAAATTTGGCTCTTAGAGCTCTTAGCAAGCCAACCCCCTCAGAGGCTGTAGATTTACTATACCAAGACTAACCATGTCCTCCTTTTTTGTCCTCTCTCTCTCTCTCTCTGTCCGCATCGCTTTGCTGATGATAAAAGGATGATCTAATTGTCAGAAAATGTGTTCATGGTTCAGTAGTCTCTATGCATCAGCAGTCCATTCACCCGTTGTTTTTCCCCATTTACTGTCTCCACATTATAGCTGAAGGGATGAGAAAGGAAAGAAGATTTAAAGGAAGACACGATGCCAGTAAATGTCCAATTTCTCTCAGATTCTTCTGTCTGCAGGTCCTGTTGGGACCACTCCCTGTTCTTAAGAAGTTTTCTTGTTTCCTGTTAGTGGAACCCCGAAAGAAATGTGTTGTTTTTTTCTAACTTTGCCTCCTCCTTTCTTTCTTTCTTTCTTTGTAAATGTTGTCTGTCCATAACAGTTAGGTTGCCCTATCCAGGGTTTTGGTTTCGAACACCATTTCAAACTGGATGTAACCAGGGCAGGAAAATAACCAAACACCAATATGTTATTTATTTTTAAATCTAAAATGCTCTGAATTCTGAATTTTAGGTTCCACCAGCCATTTTCGGCAAATTAGTTTCCTTCCCTGTGTGTCACTTTAGCTCCCGTGTCTGTTTGCTGGGAGACAGTGCCATCCAGTGTCTGAATAGAAGAACAGTGTGTGTTGCACTGACGATCAAGAGAATCTAGAGATTGTTTTCCTCAATGAAGCCTGCTTGGATTGATTCTAAAATTCACACACAATTGTAATTTATGTCTCTAAACGCTAGTAAAAAAATACATTTCAACATTGAATGGCTCATTGAAGGAATACAGAATTTAAATTGAGAGGAAAAATCCACCATTGAACCTCAAATGTTGTTTTATAAACAATTGAATTGTACACTTGAATTCTTTTTTTTGTTGTGTCACAATTTATCTATGTATACGCTTCTGTTTTACAGCTCAGGGTCCTTAGTAGAGAAAAACAATGAGATGTGTTTGATGATCTTCCAATCATCAAGTTAACTACTGATCATTTCAGCAGGTTATAAAATAGAAAGTTGGACAAAAAGGAGATTGGAATAATAAAAAAAAAAAAAACACATGATTATCATTTGGAAGGGACTTTAAAATATTCACAATATTATATTCACTGACAATAAGAATGTTTTAACAAAAATTACAATTTGAATATATTGTATGGTGTAGGGTTTATTTGGTGGATATTTCCTTTACATTAAAATTTTGTAAATCTTGAACCATTTAACTTTTTAAGCAGTAAGGCCTCTCCTTGATCAACATCTGATGACCCTGAAATCAAATCCTCTCTTCTCTCCCTGCACTCTCCTCTCTGTCGTCCCTCTCAGGGTACGGGCAGGAACTGACAGCCTTTGGCCACAGCTTCGCTGACCCCAGCCAGCCGACGGCTTCGTATGGGGCACCGACAGCACAGCCCGCCACCGCCCCTCAGCCTGCCGCAAATGCATTTGGCAGAGGACAGAACCACAACGTACAGGGCTTCCACCCATATCGACGCTGACCACCACCTCTGAGCAGGGCTGCTATGTAAAGTTCAAAAACGGAAACAAAAAAAAAAAAAAGAAGTCAGGGAAAATGTGTGTTCTAGCTAAAAGCAAAACTGGAGTTCTGTATTGTTCTATGGGAATGTTGAATGCACAGTTTGTGGAAAAAGAAACGTTTGTGAAAGCAGAGATTCCAGGAAATTCAAAAGGGGTGAAAAGAAACCCAGGTTTTTTTTTGCATAACTTAAGGAACATTCAGCAGAAAGAAGCTTTTATCCCCCACCCCCCACCCCATGTTTTATAGTAGAACTAAACTACTTTGCAATAATTTTGATTGTCTGGTCAAACACTAGCACAGAGACTATATGTAAAGAGACTTGCATATAAATATGTATATTTATGGTGGACACAAATGAAAACAGGGTCTCAAGTTTCCTCAGCTTTAAATTCTAGGGAAAATGTTTTTATTTTTCATTTGGTGAATTTTGTTTACTTTCTGAGCCTTTAAAGTTTGTTTAAAATGGAGATTATGAATATATATATTATACACGAACTGTGCAATTTTTTAAAAAGAGAATTTTGTACTATAAATGTACACTTTGCTTGTTTTTTTATTTAAAGATGTAGACTTCCCTCAGGTGGCTCTTTTGGGTGCATTTTTTTGCACTTGCGCAAAAAGAAAAAAAAAGGACAAATTATTACAAAAATAAATGTTTTAAGGATACATCGTTTGTCCCAGATGTTTGTGTTTGTGGATGTTGTTGCTTCTCTTATTTTGTTGAAGAGACCCACAGAGAAGCTGAAAAACTAAGTGGAGACACCACGTAGACGAAAGATATTCAATTATTGGGCAACTTTCTTGATGAAAAACAAAAAAAGGAATATAATTTTTTCCAGTTCAATATCAGTGAGACTGGACTGTTTATCTGCCAAAGACAAGTTTATAGATGTCTGCTGGGTGGCTTTTGAGATATTTCAAAGGCTTAAACATTGAATCGTTTAAAAAAATGTTTTATCTTCAAACAATTTCATGATGCAAACAAATAACTTGCAAATAAGAAACTTGCCATAAAACACATAAAAAGGAGTAATTGGTGCTTTGAGGTTGAATTTTAAGGGTTTGATATTTTCCACAGAGTACCAGGAGACGTTTATCTGCTTTAAACTACAAAGGTTCATACACTGGTTCAGATAAATTAAATGCAGATATTACAAGTGTGCAAATCCGATTGTGACGATCACTTCCGGGTTAAAGGTCGCACCCTGGAAACGTCTGATTTTATTTCCGCCTTGTTAGCATGTTAGCATAGATCTGCTCCCTGGAAACTAGTTGACTTCTGTGGATTTACTCCAGCTGGACGTCCTTTTCCATGAAGGAGTTTCTTCGGGGGAGAAAGGACACAACTCTCGCTGTTTTGGGGTCTTAAAGTGTAAGCTTTAAATGAATGTGTATTTACAGTTTGACTTTGTTTATGTCTAAAGTGCTGTTAGCAAAGTCTCTGCTTAATGGGCGGCTAACCAGCTAGCTGTCTCAGTTCATACAGAAGGTTTTTAAATGAATGTGTAATGAGGACTGATCCTGTTTGAGAAGGGCGACACAACAACACAGATGTTGTGAGACTTTAAGCTTCATTAGGTGATGAAGTCAAAAATGAAACTGAAACCATTTGTGGCACAATAATGATTTTAATCTGAGTGGTTGTTATCTTTATAATATATATATATATATATATATATATGTATATGTGTGTGTGTGTATATCTACTTTCCTCTGTGGGTGTCAGAACATATGAGTAAACAAATACAGAGTAGTTAATGACGTCACATAATAATCAAAAAGCTAACTTTAACTAAAACTAAATTTTAATTTATTATTATTTATTTATTATTTAATGGGGACAATGCAATTTAACATAATTTCAATACAAAGCATGAAACTGATGTGCTGCATAAAGAGTATTTATAATAATAATAATAATTTCCAACTCGTGTCCCCAGTTGGGCTTTTGTGTAAACAAACAGATTAAAACATTCAGTTACATAAAACCCCATAACACGATATGAAGGATACATTAAAATACAAATGCTTTAAACCAGTTTAAAATAGTTCACAGCTTGCAAATTCATGTTATTTTAAAATGAGTATTTTACATTGTGAAATCTGTGAACTAGATTTGAAGATATTAATTAAAAGTGGGTACAGCTCTGGCTTGCTTTGAGCATTTCACCAGTTTTTTTTTTTTTAAAGATTTTAAGTCGGACATTAATTTTAATTTCTGAATGCATGTTTAATAAAAATGTGTTCTGTAGTCGGAAACAAATAATGGAAAGATACACAGCCACAAAGCATACAGTGGCACCCTTTCAAAAGTGGTTCAGCTTGTATCCATTTCAAAGAAGTTATTTTTCTTTGTGTTTAAAAAGCTTTCTGCTATTTCCCTGAATGAAAAAAGCTTGAACGCAGAAACATTTTTAAAAAGTAGAAGAATTTGATACATGGTAAACACATGTAAAAGGGTTGTGTTCATGCAAGACGTGTATATTTAAGTAGTTTCCACAATTTCCCAGTTTGAGATCAAAAAAGTAAAGCTATCTAACAAATATAATGACCTGCAAGACTGCATATAAGTGATAATTCAAAATAAACCTTATATAACAAAGAGTATGGGATAAACCTGCTCTTCTTGTAAAGGGTCTTGAGATAAAATGTGTTATGAATTGGTGCTGTACAATTAAAGATTTATTTATTGATTGTTATCTGAGTTATATCATAAATCAAACATCAATGACATTATTTAAATTAAGACAAATGGGGGGATGGGACAGCTTTGCTGAAATGCAGTAACAATAAAGAATTGTGAAATGCCTGTTTGTTAAAAAGCTGCATCATCTAGATTTTTATTCATCTAAAAAATATCTTTACTCAAGTACCTAATAGATTTTCCTTTAACCTCATCTCACCTCACCTCAGTAGTTAACAGGTGTTTATACTTTTTAAGGGGGTGGAGGGTCAAGAGTCCTACCTTATGATGCATTTCAAAACCCCAAACCTCCAAGTACAGATTGAACTTCTGTGGAATTTGCACTTCATTCAGGCCCCCTGACAACAGAACAGCCTTTTGTGTACAGGCCTCGATAAAATGTCGAGTAGCGGTGTCATATTTGCCACATTAATGACACAGACGTGCGTCAGCGTCATGCAGCTGAGTCACTTTCAGAGAGGCTTAATATCAGGAACGCACAATTGGGCTTGTGGCTGTGGTCGTTGAACTGCAGCTCCTTCGATGAAACAACATGGGGACGTCTGCTCTGGAGTTGGGTGTCGACTCAGTGACAGTAAAACTGTTTTTATTCTTGTTGGCTTAGCTAAGAGAATTGTTGTAGATCTTACAGCTCAGGTTAAATTATTAGATTTTGAGTTAGTCTTGGTCTTGCTATGTTGAAGTTTGTTTCCTTCTTTGTCTGACAGCTTTAGTTCTCATGTGTTCACCTGGTATCCTCACAGGGTGTCAGGTCTGGTCCAGGGTTGTTGAGCGGTTAATGCACAGAGTAAAGAGGCTGAAAATTGAAGACAAAACAGAAGACAGGCAGAAAAGGTAAGCGCTCTACTCGCAGCTGTCTAATCCAAATGTTTGTGTTATCGTTTTGTTTTATTTAAGAAAACAAAGCGTCTCAAAACTGTCTTAATACATACATTGTATTGTTTGATTTCCATTATGAGTAATTAGAGATCTGATCAGCCTGAGTCTCTGTTCACAGCGTCAGCAACACACTGGCAGGTATGATGGGAGTGGATGAGCTGACAGACAGCACAGAAGTGGTTGAGATGGAAGACGTGAACCCCACACAGTTCCACGTGGAGAAGCATTCATGGGACGGCCTGCGAAAGATCATCCACAACAGCCGCAAGAACACAGGCGTGGTCATCAACAAGGCGCCGCATGACTTCCAGTTCATCCAGAAGGACGAAGCCAGTCCGCATTCCCACCGTATCTACTACCTCGGTGAGCTCAGGGACCAAAGGCGGGGTTAAAACATGCTCAGTGCGGAATCATGTCATTTTTCATAATAATTAAAAAAAAAAAAAAGAATACAACTCTGCTCGCATAACGGCTTTATATAGTCAGCCTGCAGATTCAGCTGCTTCCTTTCAGTTGCTTTGAAAGTAGCGTGCCTCTGTGAATAATCTGTGGATACAGCTTGTGAGTCAGAATTGCCAGCTTGCGACTATTTTCTAACTCATTTGATGTCCAAACAGCTGCAGTGGATTTATTCAGTGTGTGCTGGAGGACAAGTGAAACCATTTCACTTTTTTTTTTCAACCATATGACTGTGGGGTTCTTTTTATGCAGCAGCTGTTGTGCGCAGAATTTCTTAAAAATATTTTCATTCTTTACAGCCTCTCAAGCAGCTTTCTTTGCGAGTGAGATCATACAGTTATTGGTAGCCGGGTTGTTTGGTTTCAAAAATAGGTCCAGTTTTGGATACTTAAGGATTTTGCTGCTCCGGCCTCAGTGTGTCAAGTATGATCTGTATTGATTTACTTATAACTGTTCTGCTATTGTGCTATTTTAAAATTACACATTTTAACATTTTAAGGTTACCATCTTGAACATCTTAATTGTTCTCCTTGATGTCACCTAAAGCAATAGGCAGTCATTGCAGATGTATTTTAGAGCTCACCCATAGTACCTGTACTGTACAGTCACTTGTGAAAACTCCCTCTTGCCTTTCCTCTGGACCAACCAACCACTGCTAGTTTATAGGAAACAAGTCTCTGCGGTCCACTTGTGATTCTGTGTCACCAAAAGCACCAAGTTAGTAAGACTAAAAGTAAAAGAGCTGTTATCTGTGGGCCAATGTTTAACTACCGCTTTGATAACTCAGTGGGCATTGGATAGTGATTTATTCAAATCTTCAAGATTGTATTTTAAGCTTTATTATTCTTTAGTTTCTACTTTTGGCCACACTTGGCACTACTTGCTAAAGTTGACAGATTTTCCTTGGCGCTCCTTTTTAAATCTGGCTGGTTACCACTGTTGGACCTCGTACTGGACTCTTCTTAAAAACTCCTGATGCTAGATTTTCAAATTCATAGATCAGCAGTTGTTGGGGTGTTATGTTCTTTCCCAGCTGGAGCAATCCATCACAAACTCCTTACAGCTGTTTTTTTTTTCTTTTTTAACTACGGTTGTATTTGATAGCAGAGAATGCTTCAGCTTAACCAAAAAATGTGAAATGTTTTGATGTCAGAATCCTGACACTGCAGGTTCTCACAACATAGGCAAGGCAAGTCAAGTTATAAAGCACATTTCAACAACAAGGCAATTCAAAACGCTCCACACACGACACCAAAAGCATCATGACAGAGGAAAAAAGAAACATTAAAATAGAAAATGTAAAAATCGCTAAAGCAAAGATTCAATCTGAAAATATGTTTAAATAAAATAAAAAATCATTCAAATGAAATGAATTGAGGAAAAATGAATGGAAATGATGAAACAAAAGCTGGTTATATGCACACTGAAGCTGACGTTAAATCAGAGTACAGAGCAGATTGAGTCAGTTTGTTCTCCCTGAACATGCAGATGATTAAATCGTGTAACATCACCGGTTAGCTTAACCTGTTCACTGTCATCTGTTCTGACAGGAATGCCTTACACCAGCAGGGAAAACGCTTTACTCTACTCAGACATTCCCAAGAAGGTCCGTAAAGATGCTCTGTTGATTTTGTCATGGAAACCGCTGCTGGATCACTTTCAGGTGGGGGCTATTTTCTTTCTTCTTCCACCAGTCTCTTAAATTTGATGTGAAATATCCCTCTTATCATATCATTGAAGAGAGGATAACTGTGACCTCCTTGTTGTAGATCTTCCTCTGAAGACAAAACAACTTCAGAGACTCTAGGATTGAATGTGTATTTATTGCCACGGAGCTATTCTCTCTTTAAATCTGTTCATAATGATTTCCTTCCAGTAGTTGTGATTTTTTTTTCCCCGTGCCCTGAACAAACTCTATGACATTGATCTCGCTCGGCCAGCTTTGTCACGCTGTGTATCCTCCTGTCACCTCTGACCTCAGGCCAGCCCTCACCACGGAGGCATCTCGCGGGAGGAGGAGCTGCTGCGAGAGAGGAAACGTCTGGGGGTGTCTGGCATCACCTCCTATGATTATCACCGACCCAGCGGCCTCTTCCTGTTCCAGGCCAACAGCAGTCTGTACTACTGCCGCGATGACGCCAACAAAGGCTTACTTGTGAGCTAAAAGACGGTTTGACATAAAAACACTAAAGGATGAGATGTCTTCTTGCAGACAAGTTTGGAATTTATAGTCAGGGGTCATTTAAAACGAGTTTACATCTAAACTTGTTTCTTAAACTCTCAGACTTCCTCAACCATGTGGGGGATAAAAAGATATCCATGTCTAGATAACTATTCACAAACACATTTATTTGTTTAACTTTGAAATGTCCTTTTCAGCTCAACTTAGCCCAGCAAGTAAATGGTAGTTTCATTCTAAACAACAACTGGTTGATAAATCATAAATCCCAAATATAATTCATCAGTGTTGCTTTGTTTGGTGAATGGTCAAAAACCGGAAGGATTTTCTGCAGCGCCATAAAGAAAAAACATTCTTTTAGTAATTATTTACAAATGAAAAAATACTTTTGCCAATATGTCTGCCTAAAGATATCCCTATCTCACACGCAGGTCATTTTAAGGGTCTTCAGAAAGTTCACACCAAACACAAGATATGTATGTAAAACAAGCTTCACTGTTCAGATATCCTGATCCTGCTGAAATTAACATTTTCGGTTCCGACCTCAAATACCCCCCGTAGTCACGCTGTAGAATAGAAAATGAATTGCTCCTCCTCTTTTCTTTATCTACACTTCTCCTTCTTGTTAACGGTAACATCGTTTAGTCGACCTCCTGCAGCCGTAACCTCCGATGTCCTCCCTCTCCCTCGCACTTTGAGATGTCTTTAAAATGTAAAAGGAGTTACAGACATTATTAATATTTCTCCTCCATGTTTTTGTGCAGACGTCTCCTGTGGAGCCTGTTGAGATTAAAAGCCAGTGTTCAGGCACACGTATGGACCCCAAGATCTGCCCTGGGGACCCCAACTTCATCAGCTTCATCAACAACAATGACATCTGGGTGACCAGCGTAGAGACGGGTGAAGAGAGGAGGCTCACCTTCTGTCATAAAGGTCAGAAATCAGATTGTCAGATGTTCTCACCCTGTACACTGAATTTTTTTCTACAGTATTTTATGTTTTTCTCCGTATTTATTTTAGGTATTGATAACCCAAAAGACGACCCCAAATCTGCGGGTGTGGCCACTTTTGTCACACAGGAAGAGTTTGACCGCTTTACTGGAAACTGGTGGTCTCCTGCTGCTCGGGAAGGTGAGTGAGTCACAAAGAAATCCACTCTTATTTTAGCAACAATGATTCCCATAATATCATTAGATTGCTTGTAATTGGTGTATTACCATTAGTTAAATATCTGAAATATATTCACATTGGAGTTTTTTTTATTAACTGTTCGTCCGCCTCTGCCTGGTCGTCTGCTCTCTGTCTCTCGGGTGCAGAATCAGATGGGGGTAAGACTCTGCAGATTCTGTACGAGGAGGTAGACGAGTCTGAAGTTGAGATCATTCATGTTCCATCTCCAGCCTTGGAGGAGCGCAAGACCGACATCTACAGATACCCACGCGCAGGTATGAGCGACACAATAAAGCTTTTTAATTACACGTAAAATATGTGATCCATCTGTTGTTTCCTGGTTTTCTGTGTGTTCTTTAAGATAAAGAGCAGATGCATTCATTCAAGGGTCATGCAAAACACTTGCATGACACAACGTCACAGAGTCTGTGAAGTTTTTGTATGATAATATGTAACCCAGTTTGTTTGTATTCAGGCAGCAAGAATCCTGATATTACTCTCAAAATAGCAGAAATCAGAACAGACAATCTCGGAAAGTGAGTGCCTGTTCAGTGAAACTAAAAACGTATTAGTGTATCTAACGTTTCTTAGAAAGCGTTCTCATGACAGCTTGTATTTCTCTCTCAGATTGTCAGCACACAGGAGAAGGAGTTGCCTGTTCCCTTCACCAGTTTGTTCCCCGATACCGAATATATCACCAGAGCTGGATGGACAAAAGACGGGAAATAGTATGTTGTTGTTTTTTCTCTGAAAGCTAGAATAGACACCTGAATAAGCACCCACAGCCGTTAACACATTTCTCCAGAAGAAGACAAACAAACAAGGAACGTAAAAATAACTTAAGATGGAGTCAGTATACCGCACATGCTCACATCCATCATAACTCTTCCTGTGTGTGTTTGTCAGCGCGTGGGCGGTCATGATGGACCGGCGGCAGCAGCGCCTCCACTTGGTCCTGCTTCCTCCAGCGCTGTTCATCCCTGCAAATCAGGATGAGGCCAGCAGACAGGAGAGTCTGGAGGCCCTTGGAGATACGATCCAGCCTTTCATCATCTACCAAGAGACCAGCGACATCTGGATCAATGTGAGACCCCACAACATATTCCTATAAGACTCAACCTGTTCTTCTGTTAGTTGTTAGTTATTTCTTAAAGATAATTTTTCTCTGTCGATGCCTCACTTTATCAAACTCTGAGTGAAGGAAAAAACAGTTTACGGTCCATTTTTCTTTCAGGTCCATGACATCTTTCATCCATTTATCCAAACCAGTGATGATGAGATCTCCTTTATCACAGTCAATGAATCCAAAACAGGATTCTGCCACCTGTATAAGATCACCTCAGTGTTGCAGCGGGGCACCTACCACTGGGCCAAAGGATACACGCACTCTGAAGGTTAAAAATGTATTTCATTTTTCATTTTCATTTTTTTTCTTGGAACATTTTGTCTTTTTTATTTCATCTCAAATGTTCAGGCCCCAGTTCTTTTATTCAAGTAAAATTAATGCATGATTTGATTTTCAATGTTCATGCAGGTAAAAAAACAAAACATTTTATTTGAGTAACAAAGTCCCCATCAACAGAGTCGAACAGAATCGATGTATCCATTATTTGATCAACCTTATCTTTTCTCCTCCATCACCAGATGATTTCAGGTGTCCACTCAAAGAGGAAGTGACCATAACTAGCGGGGAGTGGGAGGTGCTGGCCAATCACGGAGCAAAGGTAAAGCTCACTTATCTGTTCAAGGTTTGATTGATTCCCAGCTGATCATCAGTGAGTTGTAAATGACATGTTAGATGTTCTGCATGACGACTGCATACACACATCCAGTCAATCTCAGTCAGCAGCATGTTACTATGAGAAGAGTTATCAGTGCAAGGTCATGTTTTTTCCGAAGAAGTCAATAAAGTTGATACTTTAGAGGTGTAATGTCTACTCAAGCATACAACTACTCTGTAGCCTAAGTTGCTATAATATCACTTCTCATGTTTATCAGGGTGAAGGATATGACTCAACTATAAACCGTCCTTTAATAAAATCACAGATTCACTTTGGGTTAAAAACAAGTCCATGAGTATATGATGAGAAGCTGCAGTGAACCCTGTGTTTAAGTGTGATTTATATGTAATCAGTGCTCTGTATAAATGTGTGTCAATAAATAGTACTTAATGAAGCGTGTACAAAGTAAAAGCACCAAACAGTAAGAATATATAGATAAAAGAATAAGACAATGGAAGTGTGGTGAAACAAGAAAATGAATCAATAAGTCACTTTTTTTGTGTCCGAACAAAACATACAGCAATTGTTTTTCTCCCTCTGTGTTGTTTGTGCAGCGTTCGTCCAGTCCTCAGATTTGGGTGGACGAGGCAGCCAAGCTGGTTTACTTCCAGGGAACCAAAGACTCTCCTCTGGAACATCACCTCTATGTCGTCAGCTACGACTCGCCGGGAGAAATCGTTCGACTTACCAAACCAGGTTTCTCCCACAGCTGCTCAGTGAGCCAGGTACCATGATGTACACACACACACACACACACACATGAGCACTTACACACACACATACATGTACATACACACAACCTTGAGTTCTTGGTTAACCCAGAGTTTTCAAGTAGGTTTCTCAAAGTTTTGCTCGTTGTTCTCAATGTGACAAACCAGTGTGTTCTCACAACAATACCATCACTCGTCATACATCTCAAGTCTGTGATTGACCTTCCCGTTTGTCAGATTTATTGAAATGTCAGGACAAAATTGATCTTTTAAATTATTTAAAGATCACAACATTTTCCCACAGCTTCAGTACGTTCTGAAAAACTTAAACTGGATGTAGAACTTCATTAAAATGTTTTTATCTTTTAGTTTCAGTTCCATTTAAATGCTGTTTCAGAAAGTTTTTCTGACATGATCATATGATTAAAAATGCAAAGTATTAAAGGCGGTGTTCCTTTAAGGTTGTTCACAGTTAGTGTTCCTCCACAGATTTCAGCAGAAATGTTAATTCTTAGTGGAAGCTGTTAACCCTATCCTATTTTTTTTCTTCTTCCATACAGACATTTGATATGTTCATCAGCCATTATAGCAGCTTGAAAACGTCCCCCTGCGTGCACATCTACAAGCTGAACGGCTCAGACAGAGAGCCGCTGCACAAAGAGCCGCAGTTCTGTGCCAGCATGATGGAGTCATCTGGTAATGAAATCAACCTGCTTAAGAGTTGAATAGATTGTTTATAATGGATGAAATGTTGTGAGACAGCCATGATGTATAGTTATAAAAGAGGGTTACATTACTCTAAACACGTGTCCTAAAGTACGTTGTAAATACATTCTGTCACATCGGTTATTAGGATTGTTGTTTTTTTCCAGGTTTCCCATACGACCACATGCCTCCAGAGATCTTCAGCTTCACAGGGAAGTCAGGGTTTGAGTTGTATGGTATGTTTTACAAACCCCACAACCTGATCCCGGGCAAAAAGCATCCCACTGTCATGTTCGTGTACGGCGGCCCGCAGGTTTGATCTCCTCCGTATCTCACTGTATGATCCTCCATGTTTTTATGATCCAATGACGTGGATCTAAACATGTTCTTACCCTCCAGGTCCAGTTAGTGAATAACTCTTATAAAGGACTGAAGTACCTGCGGCTCAGCACGCTGGCGTCTCTGGGCTACGCTGTGCTGGTCATCGATGGGCGGGGCTCCTGTCAGCGAGGGTTGAAGTTTGAAGGAGCTGTGAAGGACAGAATGGTAGTCACCACATTGATCTACTTACAAATGCTTCGATTGACTAATAACCTTTTGTTATGTGATAAAGTTCACACATCAAAGCATATAAAGACTTTTGTCACTTCTTTCTCCAAAATAAGGCTTAACTGCACTCAGTGACTTGGATAAATTCATTTGAAATGGTATGATGTCAGAGTTAATCCGAGGTGGCCCCTCTGGTCTCCTCCACTCAGGGTCAGGTGGAGATTGAAGACCAGGTGGAGGGTTTGCACTACGTCGCTGACAAGTACAAGTTTGTGGACCTGAGTCGAGTTGCCATCCACGGCTGGTCGTACGGAGGCTTCCTCTCCCTGATGGGCCTCATCCACAAACCCGACATCTTCAAGGTCAGAATCACTTATTGTATCTCTGTTGTGCTCGTGTCAGAGAGCGATGTACAGAAAGTGAGGAAGTAGGAGACTTCTGAAGTCAGCGGGTTAATGTATGGAGACGTTTAGCCACTCGTCCTTTATTTGTTTGCCTTTAACTGGAGTAAACTGTTTTCAGGAATGTATAAGGTGTTTTTATATGTTAAGTGTTTTTTACAACTCTTTTACTGCCACAATCTTATGATAATAACATAATAAATGTAAGACTCTTAACACTTGCTACTCAAACACTTTAGCTGTAGGAATAATAAAACGCTTGTGTTTTGCTTCTTTCTCTTTTCTTTAGGTTTCAATAGCAGGAGCTCCTGTGACATTGTGGATGGCGTATGACACTGGCTACACAGAGCGATATTTGGATACGCCCGATAAAAACAAGAAAGGATACGAGGCGTGTTCTGTCGCCCTGCATGCCGACAAACTCCCAAATGAGTGAGATCAGTTTTTTTTTAAATTTTATTTTGTTTCCCCTCATAAATATTTAAAATGATTTCAGTTCAGTTGATTTGCCTACCAATCACAATCCTATCGTATTAAACTGTCTTTCCATTTTGCTCTAGTCAAACAAAGATTGGTTAAGTTAACAAACTAACACAGATTGTAATTGTTTTCAGGTGCAGGTTATGTCAAAGCGTACACTTTAAATCTGATTCTGCTCTCCAGTAAGCTTTTCTCGCTGTGCATGCTTAATGTGAAGAAGAAAAAAAACTAAGAGTTGGATCTTTATCCTAAATGCAGGCCCAACAGGTTGCTGATCCTTCACGGGTTTCTAGACGAGAACGTGCACTTCTTCCACACTAACTTCTTGGTGTCTCAGCTCATCCGCGCAGGGAAGCCATACAACCTGCAGGTAAGGTCATTAGCTCATAAAGAGAGTCTCTCCTTCTTTGGTGAAATACAAACAGTAGCTGATGACGAAAAGAAGAAGAAACAAATGTTTTTTAAAATCTTTTTTGAATTGTGGCAAGAATCACAAGAATAACTTACAATAATTTTAAAGATTACATTTTCAGTATTGTCTTAAAACGATTGTAATGTATGAATGTTAAAATATGTCTGTAGAGAAACTTAACACAAAAGGTCTTGTATGAGTAACTCACTAAAAATTAGGGGTGGGAATCCCCAGAGGCCCCTATGATACGCTATCATCAACTTGAGTAACGATTTGATATTATTGCGATTTTAAACATTCTGCGATAAGCTGAGAATTACGATACAACATATTGTGTTAGCTAATAATAATTACTAATAACGTTTTGGACTGCATGTTATGTCCACAACATTAAACTAAATCAAGAACTGTTTTGTCAAATAAGAACAAAATTCTCTGTCTATTCAACTGATCAAAGTCAAACCCTGAACAAGGCTGCATGCAACTCACAATCTGAAGTGTTGGTATCAGAATGAAGGTTAAACCCCCAAAATAAATCTTACAAACAAGGTTTTGTGGGGTTTATAGGGCAGGGACTCTCTGATGAACACTTTTGAAAGGGTCTGGTTGTTGTAGTTTTTTGTTCACAAAAGCAAGCACGAGTCATCAAAGTGAATGAAGTGAGATTTCAGCTTTGTCCCAAATGATGGAACCTTTTTATTTTATTTTCAGGTTTATCCCAATGAACGACACAGCATCCGCTGTCCAGAGTCTGGAGAACATTATGAGATTACGCTGTTGCACTTCCTCCAGCAGAACCTCTGATAAGCTACACACTGAGCCTATCCTCATCTTCATGCCCCTCTTTTCTTTTCCTGTATTAAGTTGAACAAGCATCACTTTGCTTTCAATCATTTTATGATCTGTTGAATTCAAGCTTCATCACACTTTAAGTGCTGATTGTCAGTCTGAAAGGGGCTGAAACATCGATCAATCATTACAGCATTGATTTAGAGTAAAATGGTATTTAAGAGACCATCACTGATTGAAGTGTTGAAGTCTACACTGTGTTTTACAGTGGAGGGAATTCTGCTGGATGTTTTAAGCTCAGATGGCGCTGTTCAGCCAGAGCAAACATGGCTGAAGCTGTCTGAGGCTGCTTTGATGGAAAATGGGGGGGAAAAAGAAAAGACGTGACAATTATGACATTGTTGCTTAAGTTGCTGCTTCTTGCATCAGTAAAAAAAAAAAAAAAAACATGTCCCCAAAGCAAAAAAAAGTGCTCAAGTGGACCAGCTGTGCCCAGGAGATTCTTCTTTTTTTGTGCCATTTCTGTTAATTGTCGAACTCTCACTTTGTCTTTCTGGGACCCGACTGATGTTATCGTGTTTCTGTCTTTGTGTAAAAAACACTGGAGTGAAAATATGAAGCTCTATAAAGACAAACAAGCAAGCCTTTTTAACCTCTTCTTCGTATACTGTTGTCGTGCAATCATGAAAGATTTTTAATGTGCCACATTTTAGTTCATAATGAAAAAAAAATCCACAAATGTGTGTTAACACATTTCTATGGATTCTGATAGATTCATAAAAAGAGGAAATATGTAGCAAACCTGTCCGGTTTCCCTCACTTGCTTGCTTAAGTTTTGTGTGACGCTTCTTTTTCTGCTGCTGACTACTTTTTACACATATTGCATATTTGCCTTGATGCCAACAAACATACCTTTGAAATGATGTATAAAAACAGCTGTTGGCAGTCTGAGGTGCCTTGCAAGAGTTTAAGAGCTCATGAAACTGAAATCAGGGAATCTGTGTGAGGACCTTGGATGATAAAATGCCTTGTTTCCTGTGTGTCTGATAAGCTTTTTGTCACGTGTGTGGTTTAATGTATCTCAGATGTGGAAGAAATAAACAGAAGTGAACAATCTTTTTTTAAAGTATTGTCATGAACTGCTTTTTTAAAATCTTTTGTAAGCTGATGTTTAAAACTGTACCATTTCTCACCAGCAGAGAGCAGCATTTCATTAACATTTCATAAAAGATAAAACTTATGAGGTAAGTTTCACAAATGTGTCTGCCAAATAATGATAGAAACCCCTAAAATGACTGATCTTTAACAATTTAACCTCCTTAAACCATGCAGTCTTTAATAAAAGTGCTAAAAACTAAATTACATGTAGTACACCTCTTCAACAGCAGTGATGTTTTATGGAGAAATATTTGATGGCAGCATTTTGTTTCTTAGTTTTAGTCCAGTCAGAAAAGTAAACTGATAAAACAACAACCCTGAATGTCTTTGATAAAATGAGCAGATACAACCATTAGCTTTTCTCTGCACACAAAACTCACTGAAAAGGAGAGTGTACATCATTGAGTTTATCTCAGAATTCTTATATTCTGATTTCATGTGTCAAAGTTTGGGGTTTTATTTTGAAATGTGTTGAAATCTGTCATGAATGAACTTGTTTGAAAGGTCAGTGTTCATCTATAAAGACTAACAGGCCTCGTTCATTGTAAAATAGTAAAACACTAAAGGAACCCTTAATGTGAAGTATTTTCTCCTTTGCATGTTTATTTATGTGTTGACATTGTCATTGTGTGTTGTAAACTGTTTAATAAAGATTAAACAAAGAACAAGGGTTTTTGAAACCTTTAAGACGTTTATTTTCATCCACTTTTAAGCAATGAAATGTAAAAAAGTTTAGAGTGTATACATGTCGAAGTTAATACACTAAACATCATCGTGGCAGAAATATTTAAAACACAGGTAGAAAAAATAAGATTAAGAAGTGAACCGCTTATAAAGGGAATTTAGTTTCACCTGTCAATATGACAGAAAATGTATCTTATAGCATAGCATAGAGAAATGTGAAGATCCAGAGATCATTAGTGTGCTTTTTGGACTCATCATCCTGCTGCTTTCAGTCCTTTGTAGATTTTTTCATCCTCTGCTCTCTGTCCTTCAGAGACTGATCTGCTCATTGGTTTATTGTGGCGGGTGCGATCTTGAGGAGAGTGGTCTTTACAGAGGTGTTTTGTCCCTTTGTGGACGTCCAGAACATCCCCTGTCTCCTTGACTGATCACGCCTGAGCCCGCTCGGCCTTCTGGGATATCTGCCATTGAGGTTTGACTCACCACAACTGCTGAACCACCAACCACCTGAAATAAAAAAAATGAATAGTTTGTTATTGCCTTAGCTTTATTGCCACATTTCTTGGTTTTTAGCTGTCCAGTCAGGATGACATGATGGATCAGTGCAGCAGTCGTACCTGAGAGCAGCTCAGCACAGTTGACGTCTTTGGCGAGGTCGTTGTCTCTGTCGACTGTTGAAAAAGGAACACCAGAGGCTCCGCTTGTCATGATGTTCTCCTGACTCTCGGACTTCGTCTGCAGGTGGAGAGCGAACATCTTATCTTCTCCGTCCAGATGGAATCCATAATCAGACTTCTGCTGCCCCGCACTATTGGAGACCTCAACCTGCAGAACGTACTGTCCTTGTTTTGAGAGGGAGTGGATGTTCTCCAAGCCGAGCCAGAACTCACCTGCACGAGGACAAATGTTCAGGTGAGTTTTTTTGCCATTAAAGGCTGATTTGTTTATTGAACTTTGAGGAGCTTTTTTTTGTTCATACACACCATTCAGGTTTCCGAAGCCTCTCCTGTAGCTTTCCCAGAGCTGGTTGAAGTTCTGGGATCCATCAAGACGTTTCTGGATGACAGTCCATCCACCTTCTGTCGAGCAAACACAGTGAGAGAAAAAGATTGAGTTAAAGTTGGCTAAAACACTTCATGCTTAAATCAAATCTACTGCATGTGTTTGATTGTTTAGTAAAACTAAAATATAAAGTCTCCTCTTTAGGCCTTTGTAGTTGTTCATATAATGTATCCTTGCTTGGCCTTCAGCAGTGAAACAGTGCTGCTTCCTACAAAAACACAGATGACTTTCGGGGGAAATTCCCGTCTGACTCACCTGAAGTCATTTCACAGAGCACGTTGAAGGGCAGGGAGCCCTGTGGTTGGATGGTGTAGACGCCGCTGGCCGCTGTCCTTGTACAAACAGATCATGACAGTCTGTGGCCAAACCTGACGAAAAAAAGACATCAAACAGAAAACTGATCAGACAATGATTGAGAGAGCTTAGTGTGTCCTACAAACAGTACAGTAGCGGCATTTTCAAAGCTATTGCGCTAGTTCCCCCTGATCTTTGGACTGAACAAGAGCTGCTCTGCCAGTGAGTCAAATGTTGTAAAATCAGGTGCAAAGGTGAAATGTTTGACTATTATGTCACCTGAAGATACACCACAGGTCATTTTATAGGATCTGTAGACATGTACTGTCTCTGATATTTGTGTTTAACCTTTGAATCCTTGTAAACAAATATTCATTTTTTTGGAATGAGAAGTTGCTGATTATAGAAAGAGATATTTTAGTTTTTACTTGAGAAGGACAATAAGGGCAAAGGTCTGCTCAGTGATAGTTTAAAAACCTGTGAGCGGGAGGTGAGCTTTAACTCAGCGGTTAATTGAGCACTCAAAAGGTCAAACTTTGAACAAGATCTTTGGGTCATCATCAAGTCTTTTCGAACATCATCACTTATTCATAGTTTTTTTTTCTCGCCCTCACAGCAGTGTTTTCCTATCACTCTTTAACAAAAGGTTTGTCGCCTTACCTGATGTGTGCATGCCTGGCTCTGCCTCCCCCCTCAGAACCGTCTCTTGATCTCTACGTCTGTGGGATTTTACTTTCTTATGTGAAACCTGAAATCACACAGCAGGGTCATCAACATTAGACTTACGTCTTATTTCTTCTTGCATCGTGCATCTTGTTTTAGCTGTGATTTTTCAGTTGCTGACGCTCACCTTGTTCTGCAGTGCCTGCAGGTGAAGATTCTGTTTCTCCATTTTGTCTTGTTGCTGCTGTATTTTCTCCACCAGCTGATCGATGCGTCTGTTCTGTGCAGCCAGGAGTCTCTGGAAACACAAGAAAATCAAAGTTAGAGCTTTGTTTCATTCAAATACAACAAGAGTGAGATTGTTGTTCCTGGAGTTTTAAAACTATTTTAATGAAGAGTCGGTTGATTTTAAGATCAAGTTTGTCTAGAGATCAGCTATTTAAAGTTTGAAAAATCTCTTGACGCAGATTCTGTATAGTTGAAGAATATTCACATACAGACTTGAGTAATTCTCTCCGTACCTGGATAAACGAGGCTCCTGTGTGCTCGCTGTTGTTGCTCTCCAGTCTTGGCTCTTTAAGGACCTCCTGCATCTTTTCCTCCAGTCTGTCCACCCTGGAGTGAATGTCCTTGTCTTTCTTCCCTACCTCCTCCACCTTCACCCTCATCTCCTCGGTCAGCTCTGCAGCCAGCCTCTCCCTCTCCTCTGCCTCTTTGCTTCTGGCCATCAAATCCTCGCTTTGCTCCCTCTGCTTCTTCTCTAGCTCGGCCAGCGTGCCGTTGAAGGCTTTCAGTTTGGCGTTGACTTCTCTCATCTGGGCTTTGCTCTTGTCCACGTGCTCCTTCAGACCCTGACCCAGCTGCAGGAGGCCGTGAGCCACCACGTTCACATCGTCCCAGGAGGCTTGTTTCTCCTTTCTGTCAGAGGGGAAACCGACTGCTGCATGCATCAAGATGGTCAGAAGGAGGACGAGAAGCTGTGGCGTCTTCATCTTTGTGTCTGCTGAAGGTTAGTTTCTTTAGAAAGGCTTGTTCTGATGTCTCTTTTCTGCTGCTGAATGGCACTGTGGGGTTTTTTATAGCTGAGTGCTGCAGCAGAGATCTCCTCTGGTTGGTTGATGCAGTGTGGAGGTGGGGAGAGAGGAGGGTTGGGGGGCGTGGAAAAGCTTTCATAGTGGAAATTGCTCTTAGGCTATGACGCAATAAAAGCTTTGAATTTCTGATTAACCAAAGGGAGTGTAAAGTGTTTTTTAAAAGCTCAAAGTATTTAAAAAAAACTGAATAAGTCTGCGTGTATCTTTTGTTTTTCAATTCAAATAGCACACAGTTTGAAGTGTTTTGTTGGTGAAATAAGTAATAATTATTGATTATAAATTGTATCAGTTTTTATCCAGCAGTCTCTTGGAGTCCTTAATTAATAGTTTGAATATTTTATTATGTTTGGTTTGTCAAATATCAGAAAAGTTTGTCAAATGCCCGTCACGATTTAAAAGAGCCAAAGCTGACATCCTCAAATGTCTCAGTTTGTCTGTCCAAAAGAAAACCCCCAAAATATTTCATAAACAAAGATGTAGGACATAAGAAATCTTCCTAACCTGAAAATATTTGTGATCTTTTGCTTGATAAAATTGCTTTTGATGTATTGGATTTCTTCTGAAATTTTGTGTAAAAAAAACTCAGATTGAAAACCTGACAGGTTGTTACATTTAAGTAACTTCCAGCTATATGTTAATCAGCACTATCAAGTGTCAGGGTTTGTATCTTTGTCCTCCACAAATAAAACAGTGATAGTTGAATTCTGTTGTTTATCTCTGCCAGTGAAGCGTTCCTGTGTCTGGTGTCTGCAGCATTGTAACAGGAATGCTGGAGAATAGTCAGAGATGGACAGGCAGTGTGAGAAGTAGGGGAAAGTTCAACCCTCAGGCCTCATTCCTGACAGGAAAAAAAAAATCCAACAATCACACACACATGCACTCACACACACCCAGACAGCAGGCACGTGGTGTACTGATCAAGTACAGATGTCAGGGAAACACAGAAGCCATACAAGTAATTTAAGGACATCTTTACCTAGAGGAGGAAAAGTGAACAAAAGGGGGAATAGTTTATTCTCTGTAAACTTTTAAACTAATGTTTGACTAACAGGATTAGTTGATAAGTGTTTGTGTAATGATGTGATAATATGTACCATTTTTTTCTTTAACCAAACACTTTCCATTTTCAGCTTACAACGTTTGAAGATTTGCTGGTTGTCTTTTTGTAAAGAATCAATGAAATAAAAATTCAACCTGTTAGTGTCACAAGAGAAAACATTGCAGGGTCATTCAAGTTATCACAATCCTGACTGAGGGAGAGATGAACGATTGGACCAAACCCATGGTAATACATTCAATAGTTTCCAGATCTGTCATTCACAACCACAAATTCAAACCTTATGGTGGCATTAAAGGAAAAGTGAAAGCATCACCAAAGTCAACAGGATTCATCCTCTGAAGACCACGAAGGTCTAAATCAAATTTTAAAACAATCTGTCCATTTGATGTTGAGAAATGACCAAGGACCAAAGTGGTGGATCAACCAACATAAGGATGCAGCCATCCATGGAGGCAACAGGCAACAATTAAAGCTAGGAAAACAACAAAGTGACCACAAGAGAAAACAAAGTGAATCATGTTATAAGAATTTTTTGGGCCTTTATTTGATAGGACAGCTTTAGAGAGACAGGACATGTGGAGAGAGAAAGAGTATGGGATGACATGCACCAAGCAAAGTCAGGATCGGGAGTCAAACCTGCGACCAGTGGGACGTGGACTGTTGCCGCTGTGGACGCCTGCTCTACCAACCAGGCTAAACCGCCATCCCCCAAAGTGGATCATTTGACTGCACTTACACTTTTGGTATTTTTTTAAAGAAAACATTAATGCTCCATTTGAACAGATGAATAGAAAGTGTCACCGTTCAAAGCTATAATTTATTATTCTCAGCATTTGGACACAAATAGATCTGTAAAAAAGAAGCTGACTTAGAGGCAGTGTCATTTTTCCATAAAAGGAAAAAATAAAGAGCAATGACTCAAAATGAAACCAAACGGCCTCAACAGGAACTCTATTTGCATAGCTTTTTGCACAGTTACAAAGTACAGAACGATGAAGCTAAAACAAACATTGTCTCATATATGATCCAGATACGTGATTTAACATGTGTTTGTATTCTTATATAGCTACACTTATCTGCTTAACATCCCCTTTTTTTAGGGACATGCAGTCAAAGTAAAGACATGACTCAGAGTCAATCCCTTGACTGCACGGGGGAACACTGGCTTGTGACTGAGCGCACGTCTCTGCGGTTCAGCACGTCTCCTCGGCCCTCCTGCCCTCGTGCTGACGTGAGGCAGAGCATTGTGTCTGCAGCTCAGTCTACATCATCCTTTTTCAGCTGTGTCAGAACAAAATGTCCTGCTCGTAGATGAAGTTTTGTTTGGAAACGTGTCCATGCCTCTGCCCAGTTACAATAACAGCTGCTTTCCTGTAAGTTGGACCTGTATGTCCAGACATGCAGAGACAGGAAGACCTTCATGTGTGTATTAAAACCACCCTCATTTGAATTTGTGGTGGGTGGCATTAAAAAACAACCTGCAAAAACAACCTAACCCTAACCCTTAACATAAGATGGTGCCTGGCAATTTAGAGCTTTGTAAGTGAGAAGAAGGATCTTGAATTCTATTCTAGACTTTTGTAACTTATTTTACATTCAGACTGCCAGGAAATTAGAAGTCTTTGGCCAGACTTTTCTGTCTATTTTTCTTGATTTCCTGACTCAGTCTTGGTTTGAGTGCTGCTCCTGTCAAAATACAGAATGCAGATAATAAAAACAAAATCTTAGCCCAATTCTCTTGCTTCTTCAAGACGTTCCTCTGAATGGTTGCTGCTCAGATAATCCACAGCTTTCAGAGTTTATCTATTGTTGCTGCTTATGATTCTGGAGTACATTTATAATAACACTTGTGATTTACACTTCTTGGCTTCTTAAACCGGTTAAACTTAACTGACATGGGCACCTCAAGGTGTTTTCAGATGACGTCATATTCAGTTGTAACTTAATCTTTCGGTTTCAATGACACAATGAAATGGCATTCATGATTTTGTAAGTAGAGAGTTTGTGACAGCTCCAACTTCACTGGATGAGATTGATGATATTGGTGAGGCCATGAGAGAGGAGAGCGTGAATCAAAACGGTAGAATTAAGTCCACTGAACGTTGAGCTGAACAAAATCTATATAAAACGACACACAGTTGGAGAGCAGAGTTTAGGAATGAGAAAATAATTCTATATGAGAAAATCCCTTAACATGATACTTCAGTTTCTCACATTGTTTAAATATTCACATTTGATACCTTTTCTGAATTTTGATCTAAAACATCTTAAACACACTGATATTTTTATGGATAAGTTCCTTAATTTAATTTTAAAGGGGCTGCAATTTTTACGCCTAAAATGCAAGTTGTCGGATCAGATTTAATATCCATTTTAAGAGAACTAGACAGGTCTTCAGCAATGTCAGAACAAAATTGTTGTGTTGGCATCCTTTTTGAATTGGCATCTTGTTTTCCTATAGAACATTTTTAAGGCCTTTGCAGGGCATCTCTCGATGGCCACCGTAGTTGTGCTCTGGTCAACAAATAAATGACGCCGGTTTGAACTGATGGTCGAACAAAATGTTATTTTAGCACTATTCTTACGTCGCATTTAAAAGTGATGACTCGGTTACAGATTGCCTTTTAAATAATAGCATTAAAAAGTTTGGGATTAAGAGATTGGGATGACACTGACCTGCAGTTCTCTGATAAAGCGACAGCAGATTCTAACCAAACACCAGACTGTGTGTGTCATCTGCAGATTCTAAATCTCTATGCATCAAACTTTGACTCTGATAGGAAATGATGGTAGTTTCCATCTATTGGCCTCATGAAACATTCCTGGATGTTTACAAACCTTGAGGGCTCTGTAATTGTGCAGACACGACATGTCCCATCACATCTGCACATGTACAGTACATGAGCTTCTCAGAGGGGCGGGGTGTTGCTGGACCAGGGGGAGGACTGTGTTTTTAGGCACCAGTGGGTTAGTGTGTGAAAGGTGAGGGTATTGTCACGTGTCTGGTATGTTGCATCAGCCTGGGGGGGAGGGAGGGGGGGGGGAGACCCGAGACTCTGTATAGGATTAGACACGCACAGCTGGAGAGCGGAACTTACACACTTGAAAACTGAACCCGGAGCTACGAAAACATGAGAAAACACCAGAGATGCTGCAGCTGGAAGACTCTGGAAATATATTTAGCTTTTGTCTTTTCTTCAATGCTTATGTTGTCACAATCAATAACCTCAAAAAAATACAATCAGTTCTCTGAAACAAGTCACGTGGAAAACGTATGCAAACAAACCAATCAATATAAAAGCTAAAATTAGCACAACAGACTTTGGATTGGTTTGTTTTTTAGAAACACAAACGAATGGGGAAGAAAACAACTCAACAAATGTACTTTCTTTGTCACACATTGGTGAAACTTTCCACCCTGTTCTTCAGTATAAATTGTCTTTTTTTATTATATATATATATATATATCCATAAACGGTTTTTTTTTTTGGAGACTGATACCACCATCATTGCTTCAACACAAATATATAGAAACAAAAAGCATACTTTAGTTTAACACCTCAAAACAGGGGTAGCAGCTAGCTTTGTACGTTGGTAACAAAACACCTTTTTAATACAGATATTCCACTACAGCACCGTCACAAGGCATCATCATTAGCCCAACTTTGACACTATTTAAAACAGCAGCATCTTCTTCCCCCATGTGCGCATCTCTGTCCCACCTTTCTTTCTTACTTTTTCCGCTGCTGGCTTAATGGTGGAACAACCTTGCCTAACCGTTCCACCTCAGAACCTTTCAATCAATCAATCAATCAATTTTTATTTGTATAGCGCCAACTCATAGCAAGTGTTATCTCGAGACATCTTACAAAAAGCAGGTAAAAGACCTTACTTATTGCTATGTTACAAAGACCCGGCC